GGTAGAAGAGATAATCTTAAAAAGAGGGAAGGCCAGCCCTAGCCAGCGTGGCTCAGTGGTTAGAGCATCTGCCCATGGACTGAAGGGTCCTGGGTTCCTGGTTCAATTCCAGCCAAGGGAACATACCTCCAATGCAGGCTAGATGCCGGCAGGCTAAGAGGACATGCAGGGCAACCAATGTCTCTCACATTGATGTTTCTCTCTCTTTCCCCCTTCTACCATCTCTGAAAAACAATGGAAAAAATATCCTCAGGTGAGGATTTAAAAAAAAAAAGAAGGCAGGCCTGTCCTGAGACTAGAGGTAAGGAAGTGAAAATAGTTTGTACATTTAAATAAAATTTGGGGAGAAGGTGGGTAGAGATAGGCAGCAAGTTGAAGAAAATCATAAACAATGGTATCAATTTTCTGACATTAAGAATTGAGGCCACTTGTTGAGAATTAAGGAAGGCAGGGATTGAGCACAGGGTTGGCTACAAGTGGTGATGGTTTGTAAGAATCACAAGAACTTGACAAAGAACAAGTGAAAGGCACTTGCAGTGACAATTAGAGACAAGAAATTGCCAGCAGTACCAACCACATGATGGCCTGAATTTCCCTAGCAATTCCGTCCCTCTGACGTAGGAGCACAGAAGGCACTGGCAGCACTGATGCTGGCACAGCAGGACAGAGGACACAGGAATCCAGGGGCACGTAAGAGAGACTGGACCAAAGATGTTAATTTTGGTTATCTTCGAATTGCAAGAATATTTCTTTTATTTCTAAAAATTAATAACTAGATGCAGAAAAAGCAAACAATGAAGGAAGTTTACAAATATACTAACAACACTCATCCTGAGTGGCAGGAATAAAAGTAAATTTCCCCACTTTGGCCTTTATATTCAAATTTCTGTTATGGAATTAACTTGCTTTTATAATAATAATTTTTAAAAATAACTTTAAATGTTTCTAATGTCCACTGCAGAGTAATTTTTAGTTTTTGAAGGAACTGAGGCTTCAAAAAAACTGCTACATTCTAAAAGCACAGATTTCACAATTGCTGCTTTTAGTCTTATTTGTTATGTTAGTTACATCACTCTCTGCTTTGCCCTCTATTTTATCTCCTCAACCTTTGATCTGTTCAGATTTTCTCCTTTAAGTTAGTTTAAAAAAATAATAAACCCACAGACATTCCAGAATTTCACTTGGCAATAATTCCAATCCTATAGATGAAAATAATATTGCACATATTTGAACACAGACACTTTACCTATGCTATGATATCAGTGAAGAGGAATATATCACTGGGCCACCTCCATCCTTACAAAGGAGAAGAAAATGCATGTCAGGTAAAGAAGCATTTAAAATCTAGCTCTCTCACCCCCATATGCTATCTCCCAGTTACTCATGTACCAACTACGCTGTGTTGTTGTTAGGACTACCACTGGCCTCTGACACTCTGGACACTGAGGAGGCTCTAGAGAGCCAACTCTCTATTGAGAAGACAACTCCACAGGGAATCAGGCACAAAAAAGCTGACCCCCAGTTCTTTCTTAGCACCTTCAGTCTGAATAGGGTTGGTCACTGTCAAAGGTCTGTAGCAGGTCTCCAGCAGCCTCATTCCGTTTACCCTCTTCTTTGGAAAAGTACTTCATACTGTTTTCCTATGCTCAAACTCTCCAGTCTGGGATAAAATCCAAACTCCTGGACTGAAAAACAGGGCCTTCCGCAATCACTTTTCCCGCCTTGTCAAGCCACTCATACCCTCCCTGAAACTCCCCCACCCCGTGCATCTTTCCATTCCCATCCTTTGGGCCTTTGCACATGCTGGTCTCTGCCTGTGCCTCCATTCTACTGTGTGACCAGCCAATGCTTGTTCCTCCTTTAAGACCTCACTCAGGCATGATCTCCTTTGAAGCTCTTTTTGCATCTCTTCCCCCCAGGGAACACTAACCAACCATTCTTGCCTGTGGGTGCTATACTATGTAGATACACCTCTGCTCTAGAACCTATAACTGTCAGCTTCAAGAGTATGGGGGCTGACCTCTATTCATCTTTGCATACCCCTGCTGGGCCCAGCACCAGGCAGACAGAAAGTGCTCTATAATGTTTGTGGACTGAAGGCTGAATGACCCAGGTCATGGTTCACACCCCTTTCAGGATCACTGCTGCTCCACAGAGAGCCCTCTGAAGAGAAAATGAGAGGGAAATCATACTATAAATCACTCATTCAAGAACAACTATGGTGCATCAATTGCACACTATAGAGCATATTTTTAAATAATGCAAACCTGGTCGCCACTGTTAAGAAACAGAGTTGCAAAGAAAAGCTGTTCTGTATTCAGAAAAGATGGTATGACCAAGTATCAAGTAAGTTTGAAAGATAATACGTATTTGAAAAAGTCAGACAGGCCTAGCAAGGACTCAATGCCAGATCTGTTTCCTACTAGCTGTATGACCTTTGGCAAGTTATTTACCTTCTCTCTGCCTCAGTTTCCCTATCTGTAAAGATGATTAACCTCATATTCTACTACTTCTTCCCTCTGCTTCCAGCTATTCTGGATTTCTTACTGTTCACTAAACATTCAGGTCCCTCCTTAGGACCTTGACACCTTCTGGTTCCTCAACCTAAAACACTTCCCCCAAATAGAATCACATAGGTTTCTACTCAAATGCGACCTCCTCAGAGAATTCCCTGAACACCTTCTTAAAATAGTATCGCCCCATCCCATGTCATTCCTAATGCCCCTGATTTACTTCATAGCACTTATCAGTACCACAAATAACACTACAGCAGTCTCCCCCTTATCCACAGAGAATACGTTCCACAATCAGCAGTAGATGCCTGAAACCACAGATAGTACTGAACCCTATGTATATTATGTTTTTCCTATACACACATAGTTATGATAAAGTTTCATTTTTAAATTAGGCACAGTAAGAGATTAACAACAACAATAATAAAACAGAATTATAACAATATACTATAATAAAAGTTACATGAATGTTCTCTCTCTCTCTCAAAATACTTTATCGTACTGTATTCAACTCTTCACTTAAAGGAAGCTCTTTATGGCTCCTCTTTTGAGTATCGGAATTGCCAGCATCACCACTTTTGCTCTTTGAGTTCATTATTAAGTAAAATAAGGGTTACTTGAACACAAACACCTATAACCAAGACAGCTACTAATTGACAAATGAGTGAATAGCAAATACAGTGTGGAGAGGCTGGGTAAAGGGCTTCCTGGTGGGAGGAAGCAAGAAAGCAAGATGGTGTAAGATTTCATTTCATCACACTACTCAGAATGGCTCACAATTTAAAATTTATAAATTATTTCTGGAATTTTCCATTTAATGCTTTTGGACCTCAGTTGACCACAAGTAACTGAAACTGTAGAAAGCAAAACTGTGGATAAGGGGGGACTACTGTATTTGTTTACTCTTCTTTCTTTTCTGTATCTCCTACTAAGATATACACTTCTTGAAGACAGGGTTTTGGTCTTAGCTGGATCCCTAGTGCCTAGAATTCCTGGCACATAGTAGATACTAAAAAAAAATTGGTTGAATAAATGGTGACAACATGAAAATAATACCTACATCAAAGGGTTTTGTGAAAATTAAATGAAAGAGTGTACATAGAGGAGAATAAACTGCTTAACACAGTACCTAGCACACAGTAAGCTCAGCAACATTGGCTAATACCATTATCAAAGGAATCCAGAAGAGGGTGAGGTCAACAAGGGCAGAGGCAGTTATAGAAAGTTTCAAGAAGAGGCAGGTCTTAAGCTTGATCTGGAAGGATAAAGATTTTCCTGAAGGGTAGAAATAGAAAGGTGGGGGCACTGCAGGAGGTTAGAAGGCTCTCCCATTCCATAGAAGTCACCCCTCCCCACATGTATTCTCCTCATACCTCCATTAAATGCAGTCATCACACTAAGAATCATCTATTGAGCAGACTACCCATCCATCAATCTAGTTCTTTCATTTCTATACACCAAAGCTTAGATGAATTTCACAATAGGACATGAAATAATGTTGAATTAATTTCAGAAATCCATAAAAAAGGCACAGCTTACTCTTCAGACCAACAAACCAGGCTTAGGTGTCTATCCTAAGGAAATACTCAAGTGTCAGCATTAAAAAGTATGTGCAAGGACTACAACCTGACTTGTGAGGGGGGAAAAAAAGAAGCAACCAGAATGTCCACACACAGAGAAACAATAAGCACTATAAGGCATCCATACTGTGTAGAGGTTAAACTGAATACGACAGAAACATATGTACTAATGTGAAACAATCTCCAAAATATATTGTTACATTGAGGGGAAAAGATTGGAGATTACACACTATGTGATCTCGTTTATGTAAAACAAAAATTTTAAAACCACACATATAAACCCTAAATATTTCTCCAGATATACATATATATACATATATTTCACCACTGTATTTTCAGCTCTTCAACACCGCCTGAAACTTGGTAAGTTTTCAATAATTATTTGCTGAACGAATGAAAACATGTACATCAATACAAAAGGATTAGAAAATTGATCTGCTTTTCATGCTAAATATTTCTGTACTATTTGCATTTTAAGAGACCATATTAATGCATTACTTGTATAATTAAAATGAACTGAAAATAGTTCTTAAAAAAAAGTGCAGGACCTCGATAGACCACAAAGGGGCCTGAGCACCAACTCTGAATAACTTATCCAGGTAACTAACTTAATCGTCTTGAGCAATTAGGGCTCTTAAACAGCAACTCAACGCTCAATTTTCCTCTCCAGCATAAAAATGAATAGAAAAGTGCCGGGTTTTAAATTGTTCCTGAAAATCAGTTAATGTAATGGCATGCCGTTCTCAGTGGTGGTCTTCTAACAAACCACGACTCCCTGGGGGTGGGGCTCTCGCGCACCGCCTTCCCAGCACACCCTCGGGCGCGGAGTAGGGAGGGCAGGTGAGCAGGTGGACGTGGAAAGTCCTGGGGCAGGTGTGCCCGCACGGCGCCGGGGAAGGAAACTTACTTTCCTACTGGCCCCTTCTCGAGCTGTGATCTGTCTCTCCTCCTGTTCAGGCATCATCTCCCAGAGAAACCAATTTCTTCTGTGATCCGGTCCAGAGCCCAAGGTCACCTGGTTAGTGAAAAAGAAGCGCGCTGTTAAAATGCAGGGAGGAGAGGAGCGAGGTGTGGATAGCATCTTTGTGATTCCGCTCTAATCAGAGGCGGGGTCTGAGAACCGACCCCAGCATTTCGGACGGAAGATCTGCTGTTCTCACCCCACCGACTAATTCAAAGTTACGTGTCACCGAACCCCTGGCCCCTGGGGCGGGGCAGGAGAGCCAGAGGGGAGGGCGAGCCTCGGACCCTCACCCTCGTCCCGGAGGCCGGCCTGCCGATGCTTCAGGGTCATCGGTGGAGCCGGGACCCCCTAGAGGGGTCCATCCTCCCTCCCGGGTCTCTGCTACCTCGGGCCGGTGCACTTCGGACTCAAGTCTTCAGCTCCGACGCGTGCCGGGGAGGGAAGGAGGGCGGGCGAGCCGCGCAGACCCTGGCAGAAGACGGAGATCCCAGGGATCGCCCACCGCGGCGAGAGAGAGGAGGTGTAACCGGCGCCCGCGTGGGGTCCGCTCTCGGGTTCCGCGCCTGACTCTTGGACACCGCGGTCCCCAGACGCCGCAGCCGCCTCGGCAGTGAACTCTGCACCCAGAAAATCGATCCGAGACTCGCAAGAGCCTCCCATTGGTCTCCAACGGGTGGCAGGCTCTGGGCTGGGGGACCGGGACGCGGGAGCCGGGGCTTCCAGTGGGGGAGGGGGCCAAGAGCAGGAGCGCCGCTGTCCATCACAGGCCACGCCCCCCCAGCCCACCGCCCACCCAGCGGCCCAACTCTTTCAGGATGCGCCCAAAACTTGTCTACGCCCCAGGGGAAACTATTGGCTGGAAGGCCGTGGGAAGCTGCTACCATCAACCAATTGAAACGCAAAGTCGGCCACCTCACGCTTCCTCAGTAGCCAATAGAGAAGAGAAACAACGCAGCGCTTCCCCGAGTTCCGGGGTCGACTGAAGATGGCGGCCGCTGACAGGGGCTGGTGGTTGTGCGAGTTACTGAGGTGAGGAGTTGGTGGGCTCGCAGGTTTCTGTATTGCAGTGGTATTGTCCGCCCATGCAACTGAAGTTCGCGGGGAAGGGCTTTCTTTGTCACGTAGCTACACTGTTTTCTTAAAGCCAGTGAGCGGCTCTTTCACTTTGGTGTCTTCTTAATAGACTGGAGCCGACTGGGTTAAAAAATATTCATGCTAAATATTTCAGTTTACCTCCTTCGCCTGCCCCACTGTTTGCTGAGGGCCTGAGTTTCCGTCCCTGTTTCAGCTTTTTCTTTCTCTTGTTTGCACTCCAATTCATCTGTAAAATTATTCGTATTTGGTCATTTTCCTTTATTATGGAGCCACGAATCATTTTCCAATCTGTCATATCTGTCTTTTTGGTAAAGAAGAATCTGGATCTTATTTCTCACGCCTTAGTTTCTCCTTGTTCACTCACCAGAGCTGTCGTCGTTAACATGTTATTTAAATGCAAAGTTTATGTTGAATCCCCTGCTTCTTCACCGTCCATTGATTTTTATTTCTGATTAATGTAAGAATAGTTAATATAAAATATTATTGCATTTATCTTTGTTACTCAGGTAATAAATTGTTTCTTATAGAAAAATTAGGAAATAGATGAGCAAAAATGGAAATTCACTAAGAATGCTACCCATTGGGAGATAACGGCTATTATTAACATTTGAGTGAAAAAATTTCTAGACGTTTTCCCCACACTTGTTATTGAAATAGTACTATATTTTACTTGTCTTGTCCTACACTAATAAAACAGAAGGACCTAGTCTATACTACCTAACCAGTTCTTTTAACACCTGCATACAAGGTGTGGCAAAAGTAGGTTTACAATTGTTAGTATGGAAAATAATACAATTAATAATACAAGAATAAACTGTTTTACACACTCACAATTGTAAACCTACTTTTGCCCCCTCCCGTTTTAGTTCAGGTTGAAAATTTATAATTAACAAAATAGCATCTTGAAGAGCAGTATTTATGTATTCTCTCCAAAATTCAGGTACTCTGTTCATTTTTGTCCCTTCTACTTCAAATTCTATAATGATTTTTTAAAACATTTTGAGCAGGAAAGTTTATTTTCAGAGCTTTCATATCCCTCCCTTTCATTTGAAATATCCCTAATTCAGTGCTTTGCACATTGTAATGGCTAAATAAATGTTTGCTGAATGAATAACTTTTCTAGTTCTGTAGAGTATCACAGAAAAATATCCCCAACTATCTGAAAAGGCTGTTACAATATACTCCCTTTTCCTAGTATATATCTGTGTGAGTTTGCATTTACTTTAAATACTTGAAATAAAACAACATATCACTACAGGTTGAATGCAGAAGCAGACACAAGAAGCCACTATCTTCTGTTAAGCTAGACATCAAAGAGATTTGCAAAATAAAACATTGACACCCTTACTAATTTTCCTTTTTTGTTTTGGAAAATACAGGGTTATTTAAAATAAAAATGTTATAGGTCCCTGCCAGGTAGCTCAGTCGGTTAGAGCATCATCCCCATACGCCAAGGATTTAGGTTTTTGTCCCTGATCAGGGCACATACAAGAATCAACAAATGAGCCCTAGCCGGTTTAGCCTAGTGGTTAGAGCGTCATCCTGTGGACTAAAGGGTCGTAGGTTTGATTCCAGCCAAGGGCACATACCTGGGTTGCAGGCTTGATCCCCGGTCAGGGTGCCTGCGGGAGGCAACCAATTGATGTGTCTCTCTCAGGTGGATGTTTCTCTCCCCCCCCCTTCCACTCTCTATGAAAAGCAATAGAAAAGAGCATCTACCCATGAACCTGGAGTTCACAGTTTCATTCCCAGGTCAGGGCACATGCCTGGGTTGTGGGCTCATTCCCCAGTAGGGGGCCTGCAGGAGGCAGCCGATCAATGACTCTCTTTCTAATGTTTCTGTCTCTCCCCTTCTCTTCCTCTCTCTGAAATCAATAAAAACATTAAAAAAAAAAATAAGAAGAATCAACAAATGGATGCATAAATAAGTGGAATGACAAATCATTGTTTTTCCCTCAAAATCAATAAAAAAATTTTTAATAATTAAAATGTTATAGGTTTACATGTAATGGATTCGTCATTTTTAAATTAATTCATAAATATTTTTTTAAGTCCTCAGCTTTCATTTCTAATATGTTAAAAAAGTGGTAGATATAATCAGTTTAAACCAGTGGTTCTCAATAGGGGTGATTTTGCCCCTGCAGGACATTTAGCAATGCCTGGAGACAGTTTTGATTGGCAGGATATTACTGGCATCCAGTGGATCAAGGCCAGGAATATGGCTAAAAATCCTATAATATATAGAACAACCTCCACAACAAAGAATTGTCTGGTCCAAAATATCTATAGTGCCAAGATTGGAAAAACCTGATGTAAACAAAATCTGTATGAGGTCTTCAGTAATTTTTAAGAGTATAAAGGTGTCCTGAGACCAAATCTTTTTATTTTTTAAATCCTCACCAGAGGATATGTTTATTGATTTTTAGAGAGAGAGGAAGGGGGAGAGAGGGATAGAGAAACATCAATGTGAGAGAAACATCAATTGGTTGCCTCCTGTACATACCTGGACCAGGGATTGAACTGGAAACCTTTTGGTGTACGGAATGATGCTCCAACCGAGTCACCCAGCTGGAGCAAGACCAAATAATTTTAATAAGTGAAATACCTCTTTAAGTAATGGGCTTGATCACAATAAGGAAATCCCACATGAGAAATTTATTTCAAAACTGAGTATCATTGCCCTGGCCGGATAGCTCAGTTGGTCTGAGCATCGTCCCAATACGCCAAGGTTGCAGGTTCCATCCCTGGTCAGGGCCCATACAAGAATCAACCAATGAATGCATAAATAAGTGGAACAACAAATTGATGTTTTTTTCTCTCTGTCCCTCTTTCTAAAATCAATAAATAAAAAAATTTTTAAAGCTGAATATCAATATTTATTTTCTAAAGAATTTGTGTGTTCTCTACTTATGGATAGTGAAAACTATGTAACTACACACTATATGCCCACATTTGGTTTGATCATTAAGCAGCCCAGACTTCAACTTGCTGATCAGTACTATGTACAGGCTTAGAACCTGTATATCTATTCCCCACCAGCCTGTCTTCTCTCCCCGCAACATACTTTAACTCTGTATTTACTCTGTTCCCTGACTTTTTATTTAAGTCTTAGTATTTTACTGTTTTCGTGACTTACAAGTCCCTCAAATCCGTAAGTGTAGGCACAGTATTACAAATACTAAGGTAAGTACCGATCCTAAGAGAGAAATACAACTTGAGAAATTATTTCAACATAATTTAAGAAACATCTAAGGAGGTAATAAGATTTTGCATTCAGTCAATAGATATTATATGCCTTCTCTCTGCCAGGTATTATGGGATATGGTGGTGAACAAGTTTGGGTCCTTGCCTTTACAGAGCTTCAGTTGACATGGCAATAATAGAGAACCTTTTAGCAGTGAGTGTGGGAGTGAGTTTACGAATGTGCATGAGGTAAAATATTAGTGGGTTGGGTTTTTGGCAGCTCATTCAGAGGCAAATAAGGGAAGACAGTGATTTTAGGGTCATGTAAACAGACCAAATGGAGAAATTAAAATTCTATTCCGCTTACCTCAGAAATTGTTCTACTTGATGTGAAGTGAGAAAATAAAAATGACTTACTATCTCACCAAACTTTTACCTAATGGAATATTGATCATTAAACAAGACATATTTTGCCTTGGCCAGTGTGGTTCAGTTGGTTGGGCATTATCCTGTGCACCTAAAGGTTGCCAGTTCGATTCCCGGTCACAGCACATGCCTGGATTGCAGGCTGATTGATATTTCCCTTTTTCCCTCTCCCTTGCTCTCTAAAAATCGATAAACTATTCTTTAAAAAAAGAGAGAGAAGACATATTTTGGGGGGGGTTACATATTATCATTTCGTGGGTCAGATGCTATTACTAATGTCTTATTGAGATTAATAATTAAATCTTTCTTAATCCTTTAACACATATATTGAGTTAGGAGAAAGGTGGCTCAACATTGATCTTTTAGTACTAATTAAGAAGAAAAAATAAATTGCTAACATTACTGTAGAGACTGGAATTAAAGGGGACTTAAACTTTTGTCACTAGATATTTTGTAGCATTAGAATTTTAATAATTGAGTACTTCGTTAGCAGACTCCCAAGCTATAAAAATTTTCTCTGCTACTAATATATAAAGCAGATATGTAAAGGTAGACTTTACTTTGTCGTCCTGTTTTTAATGGGCATTATATCAGTTTTCACCTTTTCCCTCTTGTTTCAGGTTTTTTTATTCATTATTCTTCCCTGGGCTAATTGTATGTGGAAGTTTATGTTTGTGTTTGGTCTTTATCCTTTGGGGAATCAGAGTGCGACTACAAAGAAGGAAAAACTCAGCATCAACTGGCAAAAAAGGGAAAGATCAAATGGTGATTGCGTTTTTTCATCCATACTGCAATGCTGGTGGCGGAGGAGAAAGAGTTTTATGGTGTGCATTAAGGGCCCTGCAGAAAAAGTAGGTATGCATCTTTCTTAGCTAATTTGCTATATTAACATTTTTTTAAAAAAATCATTACCCAGAATTCATCTTTCTCTAATACCTTATTCATAGCCAGGAATTCATTTTTTAACTATTCTTCAACAAGGAAATACTTCTCTCATATGCCAACCTGCCTCACAAGATCCTATTGAACTTTAGTTGCTATGATAAAAAATTGGAAAGTATCTGCCCTTTTATGGCATAATTTAAACTAGTCATCTTGGAAGAGTGTGTGGAGAAGAGATTGGATAATAAACAGAAAGTACTGTGGTGCACTTTTAGTCAGTGATGGCATACCCAAAATAATCTTTATGAAGCATCTATTTGATTCTAATTCTGATATTATTATCAATTGGATAGTCTTAAGTAAGTTACCATGTTAGAAAGAATATGGTGTTACACATCATTTAATGTTTTAGGCTTTTTTTTCTCCCCACCTCATCCCCAAAATATTTATGATTCCCTTTTAGAAAGGAAAAAGCATAGTAAAATGCAGGCTTCATTATTATTTTATCATATATGGAAAATTATTACCTTTCCACAGTTATTCTGCTTCCTGTCACATGCCCTTCATTTAGTTCCAAAGCTTTCACAGGGTATAGCTGTACATTTCTATATTCTTGGCCCATCCTGGCTTCTAGCCACCACCCCTGTATTTCCTCTTCCATCTTCCATAAGTCCCTAAATCCAAAGAATTTTCTTAAATCCAGCTTAATTCCCACTTCCTTGCAGCCCTCCCTACCTTAATCTGTACTATTCTTCTTCTAACTCTGTGTATTACCTTTGTCTCTTAAGGAGATTATCTAACTCTGGAAGGCAGTGGTAAAGTTTTATATCTGTACACATACTCCCCACAAACCCCTGTTACTCCTAACTCACCTACAAGAAAAAAAATCCAAGTAATTAGTATGACACAGGAGATACTTTTTCATCTTGGCTTTGCCCCATTTTGTTTCTCATCCCTCTCTGCTCTTTCACATCTACTGTGTTCCAGCATACTGAACTGGGAGCATGCTTTCTCTAGATTCCTTGCCTTTGCATATAGTGTTCCCTTTTTTCTGAAATAATCTTTTTCTCTTCAGTTAATTTCTACAAGTCTGTCCTGACTCAGCATAAGCTACAGTATACTTTTCATTCGATCTAGCAATATTTATTGGGAACCTACTCTGTTTCAGGCACTGTGAAGAGTTAAGAGTAAATGGTGAATAAGATAGATCAAGTCCCTCTTGTAGACCTTAGATTTTAGTTGAGAGACAGAAGATAATAAGCAAAGAAGAAAAATATCAAATGGTAAGAAGTGCAATATAAGAAATTAAAATAGGAAAATATAGTGTTTAGATTGTGCAATTAGGGAAATTCTTTAAGGAAATACTTTTGAATGACAGAAGTAGCTAACATTTACTGAGCTTTTACTATGTGCCAGGTATTGCTTAAAGAATATTTTACTTGTGTTAACTCACTCAGTCCTCATGACAGTCTTGTGAGGTTGTTACTATTATTCAGACAGACAAGGAAACTGAGTTACTAGAGCCCCTGTTCTAAACCCCATGTTATACTGCCTACCTTATGAAAAGATAGTGAAGATGAGAAAAGAGAATTCAAGGCAGAGGGAACAACTACTGCAAGCTTCCTAAGACTGAAAGAACAAGGCTTGTACAAAGAAAGGACTGCCAGTTTGGCTGAACGCTGGTAGGCAAGGGAGAAAGTAGAAGAGGACGTTCCAGAGGGAGGCAGGACCCAGGTTACACAGGGCTTGAGTGAACAGGGTAAGAAGTTTAGATTTTATTCTAAGTGCTGTGGAAAACCATGTGAGGATTGACGACGTTAGAAACATCTAAACCTTTAGAGAATTTTTATGAGTTGGCAAACTGACAACATATGCCAGGGAGCAAGATTCCAAATGCTTCCAAGAAATGAGTTTTCAGCTTCTTTTATGCATTTGGAATTAAGGGGGGACCTTAAGGAGGATTACATGAAGGTGAGAAAAAAGGAGGTACAGAGTAGTTAACAAGATTATATGCTCTTGAGGACAGTCACCATTTAGAAGGAGGGGTCTGAAAAGAGGCATTTCAAAGAAGCATTAACCTAGATGCACAGAAATGATGGACAGGGCTGGCTTAAGGCAAAGATAAGCCTTTTAGTAAGAGGTTATGTGCCTGGGGCATGACTGACTACCCACCATGACCTGTCCAGTTAGGAATTTATAATCAGATCACCCTGTGAGGTTACTTTCCATAGAACCCCTTTTTCAACCACAGGGTTTTAAGCAGAGAGATGATATTCTGATTATATGTTGCTGCATAACAAACTACCTTAACATTTAATGGCTTAAAATAAGAATGTATTATTATTTCTCATATTTAGGGGTTGATGGGCCCTGTTTGGAATCCCTCATACTCATATATTACAGTTAAGTGGCAGCTTTGCCTGGAGTCATCTGAAAGATTTTTCACTCATATCTGGTTCCTGGGCTGAGATAACAACAGCTGGGGGCCGTTGGGCACCTCTGTCACCTGGCAGCCTCTGTATGTGACTACCTTGGGCTTGCACACAACATGGAGGTGTCGAGATAGTTAGACTTCTTGTATGACCGGTGACTCCCCTAGAATAAAATAGAAGCAGTATAGCTTGGGTCCAGAAACTGAAACTGTCACTCTTGCCATATTTTATTGGTAAAAGCAGTCTCAGAGCCCAATGTTATTCCACGGGAGGGAACATAGATCCCACCTGTTAATGGAAAAGTGGCCAAGACTTGTAGCCATCTTTAAGCTACCAGAAATGACATTCCTTTTTACATTTTAAAAGGGTCATTCTGGATGCTGGGAGGGGACTAGGGAGGAGCAGTTAGATGCTCCTCCTATAGCCTTCCACAGCATACTGTGGCTGTCTTTATCAGTACATATCATGCAGTTTTGTAGCTTATATATCTTTTCTCCACTGGACTGAGCTCCTTGAGGATAAAGACTCTCATCCTTGAATCCCCAGAATCTAGTAGCTCATACTAGGTACTTAATAACTTTTATGACTTAAAGAATAATGACAAACACAATCAGAGGGAGGCCTAAGCATTAAAAGTCATAAGAGTATACTTTTATATATTTCTATTATAATTATATATTTAATTGCATTGCAGACACAAGATCTAGCTTTTAAAACCTTTTTGTATTTCTCAGATAACACTAAGAAATGCTTTAGCATTATGATTCTACTTAAAAATATCTTTAGTGAATTTTAATTCATTTATTTTATTAATATTTTACTACCATTTTTATGCTGAGAAAGTTGTCAAAATAAATTTTTTTAATATTTCTTGAAAATGAAACGTCTCATTCATAAATCAGTTTTTGTTTGTGTCTGCTCTATGCTAAATTTAGTGGAGGAGACAGCAAAGAACTAGAAGGCTCATTTGAAGGACTAACATTTTAGTTGTAGGGCAGGAAAGAATGAGGTCAGTAGTCCAAATGCAATGAGTGGAAAACATTTTTTTTAGTCTAAAAATGAGCTTATCATTGTAAGAAAAAAATATCTACAACTTTTTGCTTGATTTTAACCTAAACTAATGAAATTCTTAACTATTGTATTCTACTTTAGGTATCCTGCAGCAGTTTATGTTGTTTATACTGGTGATGTTAATGTCAGCAGTCAGCAAATACTAGAAGGTGCATTCAGAAGATTTAACATCAGATTAATTCACCCAGTGAAGTTTGTTTTCTTAAGGAAACGCTACCTTGTGGAAGATTCACTCTATCCTCACTTCACACTGCTGGGCCAAAGTCTAGGATCCATCTTTCTTGGCTGGGAAGCTCTGATGCAGTGTGTTCCCGATGTTTACATTGATTCAATGGGATACGCTTTCACACTTCCTCTGTTTAAGTATTTAGGCGGTTGCCGAGTTGGAAGCTATGTTCATTATCCCACTATCAGCACTGACATGCTCTCTGTAGTGAAGAATCAAAATGCTGGATTTAATAATGCGGCCTTCATTACCAGGAATCCTTTTCTCAGCAAAGTAAAGCTCATCTACTACTATTTATTTGCTTTTATTTACGGACTTGTTGGTTCTTGCAGTGATGTAGTCATGGTCAATTCTTCTTGGACACTAAATCATATTCTCTCACTGTGGAAGGTTGGGCATTGTACTAACATTGTTTATCCACCTTGTGATGTACAGACATTTCTGGACATTCCCTTACAAGAGAAAAAGATGAACCCAGGACATTTACTGGTTTCTGTTGGCCAGTTCAGACCTGAAAAGAATCATCCTTTGCAGATAAGAGCCTTTGCTAAATTGTTGAATATGAAGAAGACTGAGGCACTTCCTTCACTTAAACTTGTCCTCATTGGAGGTTGTCGTAACCAAGCTGATGAATTTAGGGTAAACCAACTAAGGAGGCTTTCTGAGGAGCTAGGAGTTCAAGAAGATGTGGAATTTAAAATAAATATTCCATTTGATGAATTAAAGAATTACTTGTCTGAAGGAACAATTGGTCTGCATACCATGTGGAACGAGCATTTTGGGATTGGTGAGTTTGTCCTTTAACTTGTTTGGTGCTATGAGATGTACATTTTAGGTTGTTTTGATAAAATAATAATACTCTGGAAATTTTTCTATTTTATATATAAACTCAGATACAGAGAGGTTTAGAATGTGCCCAAGTTCAGTCACAAACAGTTAAGAGATAGAGCCCACATTGTAACCCAGATAGCCCCTGCTCTGAACCACCACATTATTTTCTCCCTACCTACCCCAGTCTACATGCTGGTACAGACTCCTGGGCCCTACCCTAATCCCACTGAAGAACCAAGTCAATCTCTGGGTGGGGCCCAGGAGTAGGTATTTTGGTAAAGTTCTTTAAGTGATTCTGTTTTGCATCAAACTGAGAACCACTCTCTTCAGTTGGCCACCTCACAGAAATTCATAGCTGCTTTTATTGATTCTGTTCTCATTATAGGAATGGGCTCTCCTTTTCTTTCTGCCAAATCCCATTATAAGTGTTTAACTTAAATCTCCTTGCCATTCAATTTAGCTTTATTCCAGCACTAATTACTTTTCTCTGACCTCCTGTTATGTACACATTTTGGTATAAAATCAAGTACTGTTTTGTGTCTGATTTGGTTCAACATATGTCTCAAGTGCCTACTTGTGCCTTGTACTGCTAGGTGTTAGGGGAAAATAGAAAACCATAAAAGTGAAGTTTCCTGCACTAAGGCTGCAAGTTCTCTTATATTCTTTTCTGTCCCTAGTTAGTAGCACAGTACTAAGTTCAGACATACAGCAAGAACTTGCTGATCCAAACTTTCTGCATGGAGTCTTACTTCCCATGCTTCCTTCCACAGTTTATTGAGCATTTACTGTGCCAGGCACTGGGGTGGGTGCTGGGATTCACTGTGAGGTAGGAACTGCTCTTACCTTCAGAGGCTCACAGCTCTGTGAGTGATACAGACAAGTTAAACAGTCATTAACTGCACAGTGTGCTGAGTGCTCTGCTGGGGCAAGTGCAGGATGATAGGAAAGCACCTAAGAGAAACACCTAACACAGACTTGTGAGGTCAGGGAACAATGCCCAGGCAATGATGTGACACTTAGGCTGGGACCTGAACAGTAATTAGAAGATAGCCATGCAAAAGAGGGGAGGGTAGTTAACAAAGGGTAGATACAAGATGGTGACAGGCATCACAAAAGGAGCTTTAGCAGGCACATTCAACGGACATGAGTTCAGTATGGCGGACATGAGTTCAGTATGGCGAGGAACAGCAAGACAATGGAGGAGTGACCTGTGGCCAGATCACATGGCCACGTTAAGCCAGTGGGAAAAGATAGATTTTAAGTATTGGATTTAAAAGCTTTCTGTTTCCTAGATTTCACTGTGGCTGCAATATGGGGAATAGATTGGTGAGATGAGAAGCAGGAAGAGAAAGACTAGAAAGGCAGGAAGATGAGTTGGGCTGCTACAGCAAACTGGATGAGAGGTGTTGGCACTCCAAACTTGGTAGGTGAACACACCAGCAAAATTCTGAAGAAGGATTGAGCAGGATTTTGCGATTAATTGGATGTGTTAAATGAGGGACAAAGAGGAGTCAGAGACAACTGCCTAGGATTTTTAATTTGGATAACTGTGTGAATGGTGATGGCTTTTACCGAGAGAGGGCATCCAAGAGGAGAGGCAGTTAATGAGCCAAGTTTATAGCATGTAGAGTTTGAATTGTCTGAGGGACATGTACATGTTTGCATCCAGCAGGCACTTATATATATGAGCCTGAAGTACAGGAGAGGGACCTGATCTGGGAATACAGATTGAGGATTTTGTTGTCCAGGTAATTCTGCAGGCTCCGTGGATATGGGTAAGATTGCCTACAGAAAGTGTGTAGAGACCCATAGTACAAATTGCTGAGAACAGTAACAGCTCAGAAGTGAGCAGAAGAAGAGGGGCCAGACAAGCAGAAGAGAAGAAATGGGGGGAGGAAGAAAACCAGTATAGTGCAGTGTCGTGGAAACCAAGGAAGAGAGTGTGTGGGGAGGAGGAGTAAGGGCAGCAAGTTTCCATGCTTCCCAGATGCGGGGCCAGATAAGGAAGTCACTGGTGACCTGGGCAAGAACAGTTTAATGGAGAAGTGGGAGCAAGAGTTGAATTGTGGTAAGTTGAGCATTGAGTATAGGTGAGCAAGTAGAGTGCAAACCACACTTTTCAGAAGTTTATGTGTGAAAGGGAGAAGAAAGATGAGACAATAGCAATGGAAGGACTTATGACCTGAAGAGGTGGAAAATCCTGGAGAGAAGGGATAAAATTGATTAGACTGAGGTCTCTGAGAAAGTATAAAGGAATGGTGCCCAGACATGAACAGAATATTATGGTATAATCCATATTTTTCAAATAAGAACTCAAATTATAACAGTAGCAGAAAATTCTGTTCCATAGAGATTTTACCAGTGTCCAAGGAACAATTTTAAGGATTTCATTTCTTTACTGTGCATCTAAAATATCAGTTCTCTAGTCAACTCACTTTCTAAAGGCCTTAATTTTCTTTAGAAACACGGTTAAGAAACGCTGGCTAGAGTAACTTTTATCCTTACCTACATTATTTGGCAGAAACTAACCAAAACTTTCATTTAGTTCACTGCTTTTGGGCACACAGTATCAAGTTTTCCAAAAATCCAGGCTTATTACTGATGAGCATCGGTAATAATATGCCTCACTGAGATGGCTTTTTTCTTTTTTTCTCCTAATGCTCTAATTTGAACTGTGATATTTTTGCTTTTGATATCTTTTTACTCCTTTTATGTTTCAGTACCCATTAATTATCTACCAATTTGCTAACTTCTCTAGTCTTCTACTTTGTTTTATTATCCACAGCATATCTATTTTAAATAGACTGTTCTTCCAGCTACTTGTCTGTTTTAATTAAGAACAAAGCAGCATTATTGTGAAGGTTTGAAAATTAAAAACCTTAAAATGATTTTATTTTGCACCATGGAGGTTAAATGAGCAAATTCATAGACATAGACATATAATTAAATTTCTCATAAGTCTCTTAAAATATTTAAAGGTTCCTGCTCTTTCTTGTTCTTATGAATATATTCAAAACTTTAAAAACTACATGCTTTTGTTTTTTCCTCAGGAGTTGTTGAGTGTATGGCAGCTGGCACAATTGTCCTTGCACACAATTCAGGGGGCCCGAAGCTTGACATTGTCATTCCTCATGAAGGGGAAGTAACTGGATTTCTGGCTGAAAGTGAAGAAGGCTATGCCAAGACTATGGCTCATATTCTTTCCATGTCTGAGGAAAAGAGACTCCAAATCAGAAATAATGCTCGTGCATCTGTAAGAAGATTCTCTGATCAGGCTTTTGAAGTGACATTCCTATCATCTGTGGAGAAGTTATTTAAATAATGCCAAATCTGTACAAATTAAAGATATTTAAGTAAAATAGGGAAAAACCTTCACATGTTAATATTTTTCTAAATTCATTCCCTCTTGTAATAAAGTCAGCATAAGCAATGCTCTTTAGATATAAAGGAAAGCTATTTATTTCAAGGGAAAAAGGCAAAATTACCTAAATAGAAAAGGTAACCTTATATGTTTAAATGTAAAAATTTAGATTAGTGCTTGGTCTCAAAATCTGAAAAATATGGATCTGAAAGAAAAAAAATGAACAATCTTAATTTTGGTATAGTCCGTATTTTTCAAATCCCATTTGTCAAATCACTTTTTACTTTAGTAACCAGGAAGGAGAATTTCCTTTTAGAAAAAAGGAAATGTTGAAAGAAAAGTGGATGACTGATAATTGATTAGTACTTTAGAATTGTTTTGACATTTTTGGAAAGAACATAGAAAAATTCTGGTACATTTATATTTTAAATGGTATTGTAGAGGACCTTTTTTGAATATATCTAATGAGTTTCTTAAAAGAAAAAAGAAACTTCAAGCAGGCTTAATCATATTCTAAAAATCAAAAGATGACTGACTGCGATTGCTCTCTGGGTGTGCATAGGCATGTAGAGGTCAAGGTACTGCCGGTAATCTTTTCCATAACTAAGTATTTGTGAAAATAGTTTTTTGTTTAGTGCTGTCAGTATATTTGTATGAGCCTTTCATTATTCCTTAACATTTCCACATCTCAGAAGCTAGAAGTTAGCTGTAAGTCATTTAGGAGGTCTGAGTAAGAACATCACAATTAGTTGTTTTTCCGATAGTGATGATGTAGCATACAGATCCATGTACACAGTCCCTACGATCAGCATTGTGCATTGTAAGATGACAAGGTGGCGTTCTAAAGAGAGCACTGGGCTAGCTGTTAGCATACCTGAGCCTGACCTCAGCTTCATCATTTTACAAACATTGATCTTTTGACATTAAAGCTTTTCCTTAATCTTTCTGAGTCTCATCTATAATTCTTCATCTATAATCTGGACATCATGATCCCTGTCCCCACTCCCTTTTCGAGTTTTGATACTAACATAGAAAATATGTGAAGGTACTTTGAAAATTATAAAAGTTACTTTAATTAAAGGTAACCGCTTTGGCCAGGTGGCTGAGTTAGAGTGTCATCCTGTATACCAAAAAAGGTTGTAGGTTCATTCCCCATTCGGTGTGCATACAAGAGGCAACCAATCGATGTTTCTCACATGGATGTCCCTTTCTCTCCTCCTCCCTCCCCCGCTTCCTGTGTCTCAAAAATAAAAAATAAACATATCCTTGGGTGAGGATTTTTTAAAAAGGTAGCAATGTATAGTAAATATCTTCTGTAATCCTATCTTTATCACTGCATTAGGACCCTGTGTAGATTCTTGGTTACTAAGCCAGTAGCTAGGAATCAGTATTATTTAGCAGGACTTCTAAATATCTAGCATTGTAAAGTGAATATATGTATATGCGCAGCATGGCTATAGAGACATACAACTTGTGGCATTTTCTGCATACATAGTCAGTTCCNTTGGCATTTTCTGCGTACATAGTCAGTTCCTTCTAGTTCAGTGAATTGACCTCCTTCCCAGTCTGATACCTCTTTGTGTTAGGGGCACATTAAAGAGGTATGTTTTTCCTTTTCAGTCTTCTCTCCATTCATGATCCAGCCGTTTTATTATCTACTCCCAATCACATTGTTGATTTGTTTGCAGTTAGATCAAAAAGCAGCAAAACCGAGTCCCAGGATATTCTGACACACCAACGTAGCTTTGTGTTGGAGATTATTCCATTTATAAAAGAAAGACTGGCAGAGCTGGAAGGAATGCTACAAATTCTCTAGTCCAGTTTTCTTTTATTTTCAACTTTACAGATGAGCAGTTTAAAGAATTTAGACTCCTTCAGTATCACAAAGCTATTTAATGACAAAATCAGGATGAAAACCTGCGTGTTCCCAGCCCAGTGCTATCTCATTTCTTACACATAGTCTTTGAGGTAGGACTCATACCATTGTCCATTCCATCTACCCAAAGAAAATCATGGGGCAAAGACAAAGAAACTGAAATAGAGCATGAGTAGCGAATGTAGTAAGGAAGGATTCTGAAATTCCATGAAACATTTTTCAAGCTTGTTTCTTCAGAACTATTTTTATCAAAAACATTGGAAAATATAAATTGCATATATGTTTACTTTGATGTTCCTAATGTGGTTTTTCTGTTTTGTTTTTGTTTTCTGAATGATTGATACCATGAAAAGTGTCAGAACAATATGTCAGCTACTATCTGGAGAAGGTCTGAGGGACTATTCCTATAAGACACTGCTTTTGAGTGGGCTGTCTTTTGAACCCACAGCAGTATCAATTCACATTCTTATTTCCAGTTGTGCATGTTTGTTGAATAGTAATCTATTTGTATCTAAATATGATCTAAAGAAGTAATTTTCATTATCTTGGATACTCTTCCCAGTAATGATAGGTTTATACCCCTCATGTACTCTTCCAATTCTGAGTTATTTATCTATCTACTAATATTTCAAGCTTCACATGCCAAGAAAAGAATTTTTTAAAGGGGAAAAAAAATTTTAAGGCAAAACAAAACCATCTTGTCTCGTACCCAAGAAGAATAGGTTGACAGGTTTTTAAAATAACTTTTTAAAAATATTTCATTACTTTCTACATCTATAAAAAGGAAGTTATTGTAATATTTATCATATTGTCCTGTGAAAATTAAGTGAGTCAAGAGTATCTTTGTAGAGTTTTGATAACACAGGCATACAGTATGTGTTTGTAATGTTTGCTTATCTTTAATGTCACGATAATTAGAGAAGCAATTCTCAAGCTTTTTGGTCTCTATATCCCTTTATTGAGAATTTTAAAGAGGTTTTGTTTAAATTGGTTATGTTTATCAATAATTACTATGTAAGAAATTAAAGTTGAAAAAAATAAAGAGTAATGTTTACATAAGTAATAAATAATGCATTATATGTTAAAGTAAATAATATATTTTAGTAAGAAATAACCATATTTTCTCTCCCCCAAGAAATTAATGAAAAGAGTGGTGTTATTTTATATTTTTTACATCCTCTTAATGTCTGGCTTCACAGAAGACAAGCAGATGCCCATATTTGCTTCTGAACTCAATCTGCCACAGTACGTTCTTTCGGTTGAAGTATATGAAGAAAATCCAAACTCACATAGATATGTAATTGGAAATAAAGAGAATGTTGTGAAAGAAAAAGAAAAATTAAATAAAATGAATATTTCAGACATACAAAACATTTTTGTGAAGCAGAGCTTCATATACTTTTTAAATAATTTTCAGGGTATTTTACAAAATCACCTTGTAGACAAAATTATGAGATAGGGGCCAGTATGATTATCAATGCTTTCAGAATATTTGTTTAATTATGTAAATGTACCCTAGACTCCAGAACTATGATATGAATAAATAGAGTATGTCAGTGCTAAATCTGTTAGTGGATACAAAAAAAGTTACTACTAAAGGGGTTCAGAGCAGAACTCCCCAAGATGTGTTACTTTGGCATGTGAATTATTTTGAGATGAAGGCAATCGGGACCCTGCAGGCCCACAAGAAACTTTTACCTCTCCCTGAAAGAATTTAAATTTGAGGCCTTGCCCATAATAAAAGTTATCACCAGAAATAACGTTTTATGACCTATCTATAGGGCAGGGCAAGCTTATAATTGCTGAACATCTGCTCTTATGCCCTGCAAATGACCTTGCTCCCCTCTGAAGCCCCAGGGTGCCTTACTGAAACCTTAGCTCAGAGTGCCATGTCTACCTCACTTTCCCTTTTTGTCTCTGAACCTCTCCTGTATGTAGGATTCCGTACATACATGTGTAATTAAATTTGGTGGTTTTCTCTTTTTAATCTGTCTCACATAGATTTAATTATTAGACCAGCTGAAAGAACCTTGAAAGGTAGAGGAAAGTTTCTTCCTCTCCACACTTGTGTAAAACCACAAGAAGTTCTTCAAATACTAGAATCAATTATACCCCTAAAATTTATCATACCTCTCCTACTGTTCCTATGCTACGTCTTTTTCTTCTTTCCCCACCCTAAATCTAAGGCCAGCTTTCATGTTGGGGAAGTATCAGTTCTAATGCTCTAGTGCTCGCTTCGACTATATGTGTTATAAGACATTTAGAAGGAAAGTTAAAACTTGATACTCTTATTGGTCCCATTTAAAGAGTGATCAGTTTGATAGCTGTCATACATAAAGATGCATGATTTTTCTAATGAAATTTATTCTAAAACCACATGCAGGTTTGATCAATAGTTTCAATTTAACAGATGCAGCCAAGCCCAAAAGCAGAGAAAAGGAATCAGAACTGTGTCTCTAAAACATGATTTAGGTAATGTGTGTAAGATGGGTAAGATGAATTAGGGGCTGAAGCAGGTTGAAAAACCTTGCAGATATGTATACTTATCACAATGAATTTACAGCCGAGAATTCAAAATCTCTTAATGATAATCAGGCTTGGTGGCTATTACCTAAAGGAGACTTTAGCCAAGTATGCTGCCATTGGAGCAAGCCTAATATCCTTAAATATTGACCTTAAACATTCATTCCTTTTATTTTTCTTGCATACTATAATTTACTGCTCTTTGGATTTTTTGGATTTTTAGGAACTGTGTTGCATTTCCCATGCTTTCAAACACTGTTCAGACAGAATGAGGATCACCTGAAGACACCGGCAGATTAGATATGTCTGAACCAGATAATGTCCTAAAAGTAAATTAAATATGTATACACCGACCACTGAAAGAGGTGTAGAATTATTGATGCTCTAATCCCTCAGGGTATATGTTACTACCTAGTTTGAAATTAAGAGAATGGTGAGAAAATTTTAAATATGCCCAGCTTCATGATGTGACCACATTGAGCACTCTCCCTAAAAGTAGAATCTAACTCTACACACCAAACTTAAGAGGAGTCCCCTCAAACATCACCAGGAAAATAAAGGCATAAAGACTAGACACATCCCACAGTTAGAGGAATCCTGATACACGCATTCCCCACAGTTAATAAAATTATACCAAATGGAAATACTAAGCAGACCTTAGAAATAATCTGACCAACCCCTCTTCATCTTTGTTTTCTTGTTTCAGCAGTATCAATGTGCAACTTTGGTTTCATTTTTATTATAGAGCAGATATTTCAGGCAGAATTCTACCACTCAGAAACAGAACAACCCTGCCCTGGCTGGTGTAGCTCAGTGATTGGAGTGTCAGCCTGTGCACCGAAGGATCGCAGGCCTGATTCCTTGTCAAGGGCTTATACCTGGGTTGCAGGTTCGATCCCCGGCCCTGGTTGGGGCCAGTGCAGGAGGCAGCCAATCAATGTTTCTCTCGCTCCCCCTCCCTCCCTTCCACTCTCTCTAAAAAAAAAATTAATGGAAAAAATATTGTTGGGTGAGGAATAACAAACAAAACAAAAAAAGAAATAGAACAACCCTGTCCTCCATAGCAGCAGGTAAATCAAAAGTATCTACTAAGCTTCAGGCAAATGTTCAACACTGGGATTGCTACAATCAATACAAAAACGTCTTGTTTCCTAACAAAAAGTTTACATACAGTCTTACTGGGGAAATTGTATTAGCATTTATTTACTCATTTAGGAAACATTTCTGGCATTATGCTAAGCACTACATATAAAAAGACCATTATAAGAGTTTATAACCTATACATTTGAAACTGTCAGAAAATAATTCAATAAAACATAATAAAATTATTATTTGGTGTACAATTAAACATATGCTGTTCCTCTCTTTGCTCAATTGCCTTACTCCTATGTCAACATCAGCTTTTTAAAGTATACTCAATATAACAAGAAATTTCAAAATCACAGTTTTATAAAATGGCAGATTCCATATTTTAAATGAATATTTATTTTCTATCATTGTCTTAACATTACCACAAACTAAGTTAAAACAACACACATTTATTATCTTAGAGTTCTGTAGGTCAGAAGTCTAAAGTGGATTTCACTAGGCTAAAATCAAGGTGTTGGCAGGGTTTGGGGGGAAAATCCTTTTCCTTGCCTTTCCCAGTTTCTAGAGACTGTCTGCTTTCTTTGGCTTTGGCCCTTTCCCCTGTCTTCAAAGCCAGCAGCATCAGTCCAACTCCCTCTTGTGCCACCATTTCTCTCTGATTATACAGTCTCCCTCTTCTACTTTTAAAAACTCTTGTGATTACATTGGGACCACCTGCATAATTCAAGAGAGCATCCCTATTTTAAGGTCAGCTGATTAGCATCATTAATTTCATCTGCAACTTTAATTCCCCTTTGCACTTAATCACATTTGGGAAGGGAGAGGCATATTACTCTGCTTACCACATATACACATATATTATATAAAAGTTTTAATAGAAATTTTAAAGTAAAAAGATTAGTTTCTACACTCAAAAATTAGTTCTATCATCTATATTTAGAAAGAAAAATAAGTAAATCCTTGGGTTTACTGGAAAAGCCTTATAATAAATGAGTATCTATGACTTGTACCCAAAGAGATGTTATAGTTAATTGATACTAACTTATTGCTTAAGAAAAAGTACAATAATCACACTTATATTTTTACTGGTTGTTGATGTTCCTTGTTCTTCATCAACAATAAAACTTTTGCCATTAGATGGAGTAGAAATATTCTCCAAACCTTCACTTAATTCTGCACATTTCTGCATGCCTATCCCCTTAATTCTAACTTCTCAGTGTCCTTAGAGGAACCGGAAGCCTCTTCTTTTTCCCCCTCCTCTTTGGAAGTAGTGAGTTTTTCCAGGGATTCTACTACTTCATTTCTCAACTCATCTTCAGATTCTTCAAAATTTCTGAAATAAACAGTAAAAATCAACTTCATGATATCAAAACACTGAAGAATACATGTGAAAATTAGTTCCCCCTCTCATGTTCCACCCCCACTTTAGCAATATGAAAGTTACATTTTCAGTCAGGTAATAAATTATCATACCAGTCTGGTTTTTCTAAGAAAGATAACCAATGTTAGGAGAATCGGTATTCTGTTATTCAACAGCCTTTATTATATTTATTAATACCCATCTACTCTAATGTGTAAAAAGAGAGGCAAGAAGACCAAAAAAAAAAAAAAAAGGCATATACTGAGCCCTTACTATATGCCAGTCACTGATCAAGAGCACTTTACACACTCTGTTTCATCTACTGTTAACAAAACTTGAGGCAGACATTATCATCACCAAAATGTGCCCAACGTCTCACAGATACTAATTAGTAGGAACAGGAATTAAAATTGTGTCTAAGACTGTAACACTGATACATTTAGAAGGGAAGAAGTCAAGGGACCAAGAAAACCATCTCGAAGATCACTAATATTTAAGTCACAAGTGAAGTAGACTGAGGAAGAGCTGGTAAGAGCCAAGAATGTTTATTATGGAACCGAAGGGAGCAGAGAGTTTCCAGAAAGAGGGAGCAGCAAAATAGGATGAAGACTGAGAAATGACAATCAGACTTGGCAATTTCAAGATAATAAATGACCTTTGTAAGAATATTTCAGAGTGCTGTGCGGCAGGAGCCATCAAGAACGCAATGAGAGGTAGGAAAGTGGTAACAATGAGGTTAAACTCCTCTGAGGGGGCAGGGGGCAGGCAGCTCTGAAAGGACAGTGTTACCTCCAGAACATGGGGGCTTGGTTTTCTTGGTGTTTTTCAAGAGGAGGGAAATTTGGGCATGTTTATATGCTGAGAGAAAGTAGGTAACAGACATCGAAAATATAAGGAAAAGGTCACTGAGAAAAGGGCTCGGAGTTAGAGCACCTGTGCAAGGATGGGCGTTCAGTCAAAAGAGAGCTTTTCCTCTAAGAAGGAAGACAGGAGAGAGGAGATAAGCACTCATGTGGACATAGAGAAGCAACTAGACAATCAAGATGATTCCACCTACACACCACATACTATACTGTCTCTGTTAATTAGGAGGCACAGTCATATGACAACAGCAAGGTGGATGGGGGTGAGTGCGAAAGGCTAAAGGTTTGGAAGGAGCTTGACCCATCATAGGATTAGCAGATATCACAGAGGTCCCCATTAATATTGGAGATCATAAATTTGGGATGGACCAGGAATTAGAGCTGCTGTTTGTTAAGCTATCTTTACTGAGGTGTGTGGTTACACAAGACCCTCCCTTTGTCCTCATTCCTCTACATTTTAAACAAAGATGTGTCTAGGTGTGAATTTCTTTTCAATGTGCCTGCTTGGTTATTGTTTTATTTCCCAGATATCATGATTTATGCCTCTCGATAATCATAAAAAGTTCACTGCTCAAGTGCTTTGAGTGTTGCTTTTCCCTGTTCTCTCCTTCTGGAACTCTTTTTAGATATATATTGGAACTTCATGCCTCTTAACCACTTTTACCTTTTCTACCTTTTTTTTTTCTCAGGTAATATCTTCCAGTTACTAATTCCTTCATTAACTGTACCTATTCTATTTTTTAAACTGTCAAATTTTAATTTCTATTGGTAGATTTTCTCACTTCCAGAAGTTCTGTTTGGTTATCAAACCTGCCTGCTCTTTTTTGATGGATCTGCTTTTTTCTCATGTTTTCATTTATTTTAATTAAATAATTTTAAATATTCAATATAAATTATTATACAAATATTAAATATTCATAAAATAATTATCTGAAGTTCACTAGGGTCTAATTCAGCTCTTTGTTTGTTATCTCTCATAGTGGAATCTGTTTTTAAACAGAGATGACTGCTGAGTCATCTTCAGCAGTGCTTTAGTAAGAAAACTCAGTGTCACCTGGCCTGAAGTTTTATCTCTCCAGTGTGTTTTATATTTACTACTTCTAGAGATCCCAGAGTATTCTACTGAATAACATTCTACTTAGCTATCTTCTATGTATCAACAACAGCGTTTGAACTTTATACTTTCATTTAGGCATCTGGATATGACCTACTTACGTATCATCATCATCAGATCTTGGTTCTGGTTGTCTCTCATCTACTTCAATGCCAGAGGCCATGTCCACCTTCCCCTCATTTTCTTTAGGAAGCCATTGTTTTAATGTTCCCACTGTTAAAGAAATGACAGAGAGGTTAAAGCATCCCAGTCAATACACCAGATGAAGGGTATGTACCAAAAATCCTATAATGAACATAAAACATAATGGTAAAACCTTTGAAAGGTTTTTAAACAAATAAGACAGGGATGACAATTAACACTCCAACTATTTTCAGCATTGTACTGAAGCTAGTAGGCAACACAATAAGACAAGAAAAAGTGAGAGGAATAGGATCAGTGACAAAGAAAACTCAAAACACACACAATTTTATCTTTTTTGGTGGTGGGGGTGGATTTATTGCTGTTATTTAAAATGTAATTTTTTTCTCTCTTGGAAAACAGATCAGACAGAAGATAATACAATATTTTGTTTCCTTATGGCAATGCGGCATCCTCTCAACAACTTGATAAGATGTACTTTTATTTTATACACCAATAGCAAATAAAATGTTCTCATAAAATGACACAATGTTTTCTTACCCTTAAAATTTATATTTTACAGGTATAAATTATAATAAGAACTCTTTTAGTCCTTTCTAAGCATATATTTTTCATCTTATTACTTTTTTATACTCATAAAAAGAAAAATATAAGTGAAACAAATTGGATAAGATATAACTAAAATTCCTCACATTCAGAGTCCTACTCCTCTGAATTACTTATTCTTTTACATCTCAGTTAAACTTTTATGGATCCTGATTCAAAGAGACCATAATAAAACAATGAATGAGACAAACAATTCTGAGTGACTTTTTAAGTCATTGATGTCTGTGTGTTTTTTTATGGTAAAAAATACATAACACAAAGAGGAAAACCTATTTATTAATGAAAAATATAACACGTATAAAGAAAAAAATACATAACAAATTTACCCACTCAGTTTTTAAGTTAACAGTACTGTGTTATTAAATATGTGCATATTGTTATACCATCTTGCATGACTGACACTTTATTCTCATTGAACAACAATTCCTCATTTCTCACTCCCTTCAGCCGTTGGAAACCACCATTCTACTTTCTGTTTCCAAGAATTTGACTATTTTAGATACTCCATGTTAGTGGAATCATGCAGTATTTTTTTGTATGATTAAGTTATTTCACTTAGCATAATGTCCTCAAGTTTCATCTATGTTGTAGCATATGACAGGATTTTCTTTTCTTTTTTTTAAGGCTGAATATATATATATATACCACATTTTCTTCATCCATTTATCCATTGATGAGCATTTAGATTACTTCTACTTCTTGGCTATTATAAACAATGCTACAGTCTACATGGGTGTGCAAAAATATCTTCTGAAGATCTTGCTTTCAATTCTTTTGGAAATATACCCAGAAGGAGACTTGCTGGATCATATGGTAGTTATTTATTTATTTATTTATTTATTTATTTATTTATTTATTTCGGAACCTCCATACTGTTTTCTATAATGGCTGCACTATTTTATTTTATTACTTTATTTTTTATTTTTTTGGAAGGGTACCAAATTACCTTATTTGAAGGAATGGTACAAATGAAAGAATATAAGTAGATGATTTGATACAACTTATAGAAAAGGTAAAGGTGACTCCAACATGTATATACTGCTTTAGTGACCAGGGAAGTCACTCCCATGGTTGTGGGAAGCCAGCCTAAGGCTTAATTCTCATCACTGTCTCCCAGAGTGTGCACTTCAAACAGATACTCTGACATGCCAAATTGGGTCGGGGAGAGGGCATCTTGTACAAGTTGGTTATATGGTCACCCAGTCTTTGATGGGTTTCACCTCCTCATTCAGGTAATGATTCTCAATGAAGTCACACAAATAGAGGTGGTTTTTGTCAATGGCCAGTTTGTGCAATTCTGATAGTGACTGATTCACAGGTTTTTCCAAGTGTTACACGCATTCCATTGCATTCAGACCATTCTCCTAGTCTTCACAGTCTGGTTTCTTGATATCCTGAAGGAAGATTCCGCCATCTCTTTGGATCTGCAGCTTCATCAGTTTCTCAGCGTGTTCCCTCTTCTTGTGAGACTGGTGAAGAAAATATTTGACAAAGTTCTTCAAAGCCACATCTTCACGGTAAAAGTAGTTAAACATGGGCAGATGTAGGAAGCGTAGAGTTCCAGGTTGATCTGGTGGTTGCTGGAGGCCTCTGGGTCCTGGTGTTAGTTCTGGTGCACCTGCGAGGATGCAGGTCTGTCATCATGGTAGTCCGTCCTCATGGGGGGTGGCTGAGGAGAGGCAGCAGCAGAGGTGGCAGCTGAGCACACTGGGGCAGTGGCCTGGGGCCCTTGGTTTGTCCAAAGGTGCTATGAGGAGGTGGTGGAAGACTGGATATGAGTGGCTGGCTGGAATGGGGAAAGAACACCGGCTCAGTCCAAGCATTGTTGAAGCAGGAAATCCCAGTGACTCTCTATGAAGACTGTACAGCTGCACTATTTTACAATTTCACCAACTATCTGTACACAGGGTTCCAACTGTACTATATCTTTGCCAACAGTTATTATATTCTGGTTTTGATAGCAGCCATCCGAATGGGTATGAGGTGATATCTCTTTGAGGTTTTTACTTAAATTTCCCTGATAATTAGTGATGTTGAGCACCTTTTCATACGATTGTCATTGATGTCTGTTTTTTTTTCTACCTAATTTCAACTCCATTGCAATCAAGAGCATTATTGAGATAGATTTTCTTTTAAAAATCCACAAAAGAAACTAAAAGAATTCACAAAAATTGAAAGTGCTGGTTTCTTAAAATTATTTAGAACTAGACTACTTTCAACTACCACTTTGGGAATTCTGCTATGTCTATATTAGTTAGCTTTTGCAGAATAATAAACCACTATATAACTTAGTGGCTTATATTTTGGTTACAATTCTGCAGTTAGGTAACTTGGGCTGGGCTCAGTCGGTTAGCTCTTCTGGTATCAGCTGGGCCCAGACATGCATCTGCAGTCACTTGCCAGGCCAGCTGCAGGCTGGCTGGTTTAGTACAGCCACACTTGGATGGCTTGTCTCTTTGTTCCACATGGTCTCTCATTTTCCAGCAGACCAACCCAAGCTAGTTAAGAGCTAGACAGGGTTCCAAAGGGAAAGAAGGGAAGTTCCTTGAATACTCAGACTTGGTACACCACCACTTCCATTGCATTCTACTTACCAAAGAAAATCACAAGGCCAGTTGAGATTTAAGGGATGAAGAGGAAAAAAAGTTAATGCTGGAGGAGCTGCAAATTCTGTTGCAAAAGCCATGGACACAGGGAAGAATGATGGACTGTGCTCATTTTTGTAATCTACCATAATCTACCTCCCCCACATGCACTCTACAACCATCTGGTTCCTAAGGGCCAAAAGAATGTTTCATTTTAGTCTCCATGAAAAAAATCAAAATCACTGCCCAATAACACCCATTATACAAGTTTTAATGTTCATTGAGGTGCAGACAATAATAATATGTCAGAACTACTGCCTGGCCTACAGTGACTATAAAATACCATTGACTGTATGCTGTATCCCAGGATCAGAAACATTAAAAGGGGAAAGAGGGTGAATGTGCATCTCAGAGTTGGTGAATTTAAGAAAACTGAGGCATGGAAGGGTTACGTGACTGGCCTAAGATCGCGTGGTAATCAGTTGGAACCTGCATCAGAACCAGTATTCTTGGCCACTATTTTAAAAGCAATAACTTATTAAGCACCTACTTGGACAGGCCACTTGCGAGACACTTTACATACAATATCCTTTGGTGCTATATTAATTCTGATTTTACAAAGGAGGACACTGAAGAAAGATTGGTTATCTTATTGAAAGTATCAGAACCAGAAATCACACCAGATCTGTCCAAGTATAGAACCCATTCTTATCCATTATTCAGTGTTGCCTGGCAATAGACTGCAGAGAGAACCTGATGTAAAAATAACCTTTATGTACTCCAAATGCAAATGTTTAGATTTTTTGCCTTATTTCTTCTTCATTAGCACAATACAACCTTTAAACATTTTTACAGAGGAAATTTATACTATCATAGTAAAAAAAAAATCTAAAAGAAAAATCAAGCAATGATTTCGGTGTAGGGAATTATATTTATGCATCAATAAAGAAGAAATTGCCTAGAAATGGATCCAAGTATATACAAAGATAAAGTAAAATGAATTTTGAGCCAATATGAAAACTATTAGTTAATAAACAGTTTTGGAAAGTTGGCAATTTGGAGAAAAAAAATAAAGTTACTTCCAACATTAAACTATATACCAAAATAAATACAAATCACTCTCATGAACAAAGGGGTTCCTGCCACAGTAATGTTCTAAATATGTTAATCATGTCAAGTTTATTAATTCTGTTTTTCAAATCTTCTACATCCTGCCCTGGTCAGATAGCGAGGTTGGCTAGAGCATCATCCTGATACACCAAGGTTGTGGGTTTGATCCCTAGTCAGGGCACATAAAAGAATCAACCAATGAATGCATAAATAAATGGAACAACAAATCAATGTTTCTATCTCTCTTTAAAATCAATCAATAAATTTAAAAAAAAATTTTAATCTACATCCTTAAATGATTTTGTCTGTTTAATCGCTACCGAGAAAGGTATGTTACATTTACCCACTAAGTGGTAGATTTGTCTATTTCTCCTATTAGATCTATCAACTTTTGCTTTATATGTTTTGACATTATGTTATTAGGTACATACAAATTTAAGATCATTATATCTTTCTGATGTATTCACACTTATTTTATTATGAAAAGTTTTTCTTTGTCTATAGTTATGCCACTTGCCTTAAAATAAATTTTTCTTTTAGTTAATGTCTGCATGTTATATTTTTTTCCCATCTATTTACCTTCCACCATAATTTCCATACCTAACTTGATAGCAATACAAACATAGGCAATCATTTGCCTTTGCATAAACTAATACACTAAAAGCGTTCTATGGCAGCGTGCTCATTCACTATGGCCACCTACTAAGTCTAGGCACTATATCAGGCACTAGGGGCAGAGAGGTGAAGTGGGGTGGTGAGCAGGACAAAGCTTCCACAAGTCTAGTGAGGAAGAAAGATATTATAGTGATTTTTTTCTTTTTTATCATCAGAGAATTAGTGTCTGTGGAATATTAAACAGGGGAATCAAACCTAGAGGATTGCAAGGAAAACATGCCCAGATACTTTCTCAACCACCTAAAACAGTGGTACACAAGCAGCAGTTTCATTGAGATCTGGGTCATAGCGATCACAAAAAGTTTACAATAAAATCACTACTGCATCTTTCTATGACCTGAAGGTAAATGATAAATATAATAATAAAGTGTCAGAATTTCGTGCATTTAACAAATATTTGAGTGTGAATGAACTTAAGTATGAGAATGAATCAATGTGAAGTTTGTCAGAGGCAGCTAACAGAGAAAAGACAGTCGACAAACTTAAGGACTTACTAGAATTTTGGGGGTTAAAGAGAAGCATATTAATCAAGTTGCAGGCTCTTTCACTCATTCATTTAAATAGTACTTATTAAGAATCTACTATATTCCAAACCCCTTTCACAGCCCTATCTAGTGGTATAGGGGAAAGTAGGAAGGGAAGGGAAACTGCCAATAAAACATAATGACACATAAATTTATTTATTTTTAATTTAAAATAAAACATAATGACAGAAATGGGCACCAGGTTGCATCACAGTGCAATCTTACAGGAGAGATTATTTTGGCAAAGGCTGGGAGGCATTCATTCTAAACAGAAGGAAGATGTTTGCTAAAAGAGAAAGAAGTGCTAATAGCTTTGTCACTGGGAGGGGCCTGCTGGCTGGGAGGGACCTTCTGATCTTTAAGGTGCTCAGAGTCTGCAGAGCCTGGATTTTATCCTGAGGGTAAGGGGGTATATTTTGCAGGATTTTAAACTGAGACAAGATCCATTTTAGGAGGATTATCTGGCAGGGGTGCAGAGTTTAAGCTGAAGAAAGAAAAGATGACAAGGGACAAGAAGTCAAGATTGCTGCACTGACAGGAAAGATGAGATAAGGCCAACAGAGTTAGAAGCTGAAAGAACAAAACAGATTGGCGGGGAGAGGGGAAGGGAGGATGTCAGCAGATTACAAAAGAAAACACCTGTACTTTGTTTTGAATGCCACCCTTTAGGGCAAGTTCCTATTTCTAATCCCACTCATTAGACAAATTGCTCATGTATGAGTAATGCAAAACTGTCCATGGGAAAGCACAAGTTCCTTAATTAATTAATTTGGCATGATAGATCAAAAGAAGAGTTTTCTGTGACTCTCTCCAAGAATCCACAGGGGCAAATGTAAAAAGAGACATCGTATGTCTCTATCTCAGTGCCATGAAAAATGGGAAGCATCCTTCCCACTGGCCTGGGGCCCTGGCCTTTGATTTCCAGGCCAAGCAAGGCCTGCTCAATGCTTCCTCTGGCCACCTCCAGCCTTATCCATAGAGACAAAACTTTTATCCCCGGTCATAAGGGGAGGGAGTAGATTAGCAGACAATTAACATGCAGTTTGTAGCTTGAAGGCACTTCTTTTTTCTCTTCAGTTTCCAACAGCATGTCAACTGGGATAAGCCATAATGCCAACTCCTAGATTTTAGTCAGATAGGTTTTCTCAGTCTCTAACACGGGCCTGTGTACCTCTGCAAGGCCTCCCCACCTGCAGTGTCCTTTCTTCTTGTCTCAAATTTTGTACATTGTTTAAGATCTAAATTTTCACAAAGGTTGTGAAAGTTGGGTTTTACAAGCTAGCAGATCCAACTCTACATTAAGAATCGGGTAACTTTTGCATTATGCTTAGTGTTGTATATATTTCTATATTCTTCTTTAACTTTGTAAGCATTTATCAGCCTCGGTTACTATCTGGTTCATTTCTATGCCTCCTTGTTGCCTCAAGCTTGCATCTCTGCAACACCAGGTCCCATACCTCGCACCTGTGCAGAGGCTCCTTATTTGATGCCTGCCTGCCTGCAATGGCTTCTCTTGTAACAGCTCACACCTGCAAACCTGATAGAGGGCAAATTCCCATTGTGATAGGAATTTCCTCAAACTTTAGAAAATGATGGTTGGTTTCCCTTAAACACAAACATAATCTTGCTAAAAACTGGAGGCAGAAAACCCAAAAGCCAAAACACTATACATACTAAGATGTATTTTTATTGCCCATAGGATCATAATTTGAATAGCTGTCAGAAATAAACTGCCTCAGTTTAAAGCTAAGCAATACTAGCTCCTCATCTACAAAGCTACTATCCTCCTTACTTAACTTTTCATCAGTTGTCAACTGATCACATTAAGCAAAATTACCCCCCTCTTCTCTGAAGTCCAAGTCTTTTGTTAATGGCATTTGGAACAGGCTTGTACAAAGCAAATCAGCTTCTGAAAAGGCTTAGACACCCTCCCAATTCTTTCTCCAGGCTTAAGGTATTTTTATCCCCTTTCTGCATTTATGAGTCTTTGACAGACTTCCCCAGGGGACTGGTTATGTTCTTAAAAAGAAACTACATACCAAATTCTCCTTCTGTGCCAGAAAATGAGCTACTTGTTAGATGAGCTGCTGCCAAAACACTCATTAAAGTTCCTGGAGCTTCATGCTGCCACTGTTTCCTATTTTCGGGAATGCCACTGATCACCATCACTTGGCCATCTGAAGAGGAGAATGAGTTTTTATAAAAATCACAGAATGTTACATCCTTGGAGGTAACCTCATCCCATCACTCCTTTTATTAGTAAGAAAACTGAGATATAGAAAAGTTTAGTGACCTATTGTCAGGTAGATGGTGGGCAGGAGAGTCACTTTTTGCTCTGTTAACTGGCCATTTCGGTGTGTTAAAATTTATATTCTATTTGCTTATTTTAAATTAGGTTTCCCCTCTTATTGACTCATTGACTTAGAATGAATTAAATTATACTTTGCAGGCCTTTTCTTGCAAGTTTGATGAGTTCAGTATTTTGTAATAGTATAGATATGTCAGTTCACACACTTATAATTACTAATTTCAGTTATATATTTACATACTTGAACTTATAACACAGTTATAAATTTTAACTCTCCCCCAGCCCCATGTTATCAAGAGGAACATAGGAAATAAGTAATAAAAATCTTCACTACCCATAAAGGTAACACCTGGATGTTGCTGTAAACCTCTCCTAAGGAAAGACTATGCCAGACTTCAAATGTAAATGAAGGGATTTAGACTGAAAGTTGCATCACATACTAAACACTCCTAACATTTAAATAACACATTGGTTTACAAAGCAATTTTAAATGTTATCTTTGCACTGTTACCTCTCTACACCTTGTGGGAGAGCTATTATTTTAATTCCCATTTTATTGATTTAAAAAAACCAACCATTCAAGAAATTGTAACAAAGTTATTGGGCTAGCATTTGAAGACTGCCTTTTCTTGTATATTCTCTCTCACTATGAGGAAGGAGGAGTTCTGGATCTTTCCTCCTTTACATTCTCATAGCTACAGTAGTCAACTGCCTAGGATAATTAGCAGGCAAGTTTCTCCAGATGTAGGGGAGGAATCAAAACAGTATCTTTGGAAGGCATTTGATACCAAATCTATATGGATTGTACTGAAAAGTGAAAACCATTAGGTCACGGTGAGCACTAGCAGCATTTGGGGCCTTGGACTTCTCTTGCTGGCGATTTATGCCGGCTGGTTTAAATTCACCTTCAGGCCTGGTAGAGCTGGTGGAGATGATATCAGCCGCTGCCATCATCTGCAGCAGAGTCTGAGGAGCTCCAGCATCCCACTGTCTCCTGTTTTCTGCAGCAGCAGCATCCTGAATGAACAACTCTAGGTATAAGAAAATAACTTATTAATTTAAAAGCAGCCAAAGTGTGACTAATTTCAACACAGTTCTTAGGAAACCTAGAGACAGTCCATCAGCTGGTATATTCAAAAACAGAGAAATCACTATTGTCATTATAATATAGACTGCTATGGACTAAAAATTTGTTTCTCCCCAAAATTCATATTTTGAGACCTGATGCTCAATTTGACTGTATTAGGAGGTGGGGCCTTTGGGAGGTGTGTAGGTCATGAGAGTGAAGCCCTCATGAACAGAATTAATGCCCTTATAAAAGAGACCCCAGAGAGTTCCCTCACCCTTTATGCTATGTGTGGACACAGCAAAAAGATGGAATTGGACCCTCATCAATCACCAAATCTACTAGCACCATGATCTTAGACTTCCGGCTTCCAGAGCTGTGAAATAAATGTTTATAAGCCACCTAGTTCATGGTATTTTGCTATAGCAGCCTGGATTGACTAAGACATAGATCATATTTATAAGGCAGAAATTATGAACAGGTTTGAAATTGTTTTACTTTTATTAATAACATTTGATTGACTAGCCAGCCAATATATCTAAATGTTAAAGAAATATTAGTGACACAAAAGGACAAATTCCTTGAGGCATTTATGAGAACTTTTACTTTTTTTTTTTAATATGTCTTTATTGATTTCAGAGAGAGGAAGGGAGAGGGGGAGAGAGAGATAAAAACATCAATGATAAGAGAGTCATTGATCGGCTGCCTCCTACACGGCCCCCCACTGGGGATGGGGCCCACAAGGCAGGCATGTGCCCTGACGGGGAATCAAACCACAATCTCCTGAATCATAGGTTGATGCTCAACCACTGAGCACACCAGCAAGGTGAGAACTTTTACTTTAGTCAGTTTCCTTGGAAATGAATTTTGGTCCAGTATCTCAACTTTAATATAACTTGTGTTAACCTTTTCCTTATTTATTCCCATATTTCATTCTAGGAAATTAAAAAATCAAGTAAGTAGAAGATTATAAAAATCACCCATAATTCCACTGTCCAAAGACTATTAGAAGTTCAAAAATTTTCCCCTGCATATAGTTCTTGCTTTGTTTTGAAACAAAAAATGGGCCACATACCATACACCTTTTTATAACTTGCTGTTTTCAATTAGCAATGTATCATATTCAGATTGTTAAATATTCTTCTATACAATCATTTTAAAGCAATAGTATTTTCTCACATGTAATAATTGAATTTTTTTGCTGGATTTTTAAGTTGCTAGAGAGTTTTCACTATTACAAATAATATTATAATGAACTCATTTGTAGCTAAATTTTTTGTGGACATTTATGATTATTTACCCTAGATAAATCACTGAAAGTGACAGTTCTAGGAGCTGGTATTATTTGCTCTACCAAAGCTTTTCATTGTTAAAGTTGAATCTATTAATAATTTATTCTGTGATTTTTTTCCTATTTATTTTAGATAGCAAGTTCTTCCCTATCCAAAAAAAAGTACTCACCTATATTTTTCTTTATTTCATTTACTAATATATAACTCCTTTTTCTTTTTACATATAAACTCTGATTTTTTTTGGAATTTGTTTTGCTGCATTGTTATATAGGTTCTGATTTCACAATTTTCCCCAAGTTGTCAACCAATTGAACCAGCAGCATTTATTTGAATAATCTTTTCTTTTCCCATTGACTTGTTACGTGACTTCTAGCATTCACTATATTATGATACATATTAGGATTTGTTTCTAATCTATCTTTTCTTTTCACTATTTTATCTATTCTGGTGCTAGTATTATATTGTTTAATGACTATGATTTACATATTTTGTCATTTAGAAGGGTAAGAGACACTTTACCGGTCTCCAAGATCCTCCAATCTGTCAAGATGTCCTTGCACCACAAATAAACAAACAAACAAGCAAATAAATAAATACATAAATCCTATTGTGATTTTTATTGAAATTGTCAAAAATCCATATATTTGGAAAGAATACTTCCAATATATAACAGTGTTATTTTTCTCTATTTATTCAAGTGGTGTTTAAATACCTCAAGTTTTACGACTTTCTTCATATACTCTGAACAATTCTTGTAAAGTTTATTCCTAAATCATATATATATATGCATATATAAACACACACATATACACACACACATTTGCTACTGTTACTGTAAATCAGATCTGAAGACCAATTGTGGAAAATATTTGCAATACATATTACAGGCAAAGGTTTAATTTAAATGTCTTGTTTTAAAAAACAGGTCATTTTCAGAGGGAAAAATGAATAAGAAACATGAGCACATAACGCACAACAAAATTATAGATGGTTAATAAGCATATGGAAAAATTGTTCAGCCTGATAATAATGCAGTTTACTTTTTTTAATTTAAAAAAAGGGCACAGAAGATAAAATGAGGCTGTTTCTTATCAATTATATAAGCGCACAGCAGGTACCTTCTGAGGCTGACTTGGAGCAAAACAAAAAAGCTTTAACTGATGCAGGATGCAACCTTAATCCCTGACAGTGTATCAAACAGTGGAAGGCTTTTGCCTAAATGGCCTCAGCTCCTGCCAGCTATGGCAACACCACCACTAAAGCAATGGGTCTTTTATCGTGAGTCATGAATAGCTCACAATTTGTGATGGAAGGAGTGAAGAACCTGGTATTGAAACAGCAAAATCTTCTTGTTACTCGTATTTTAGACAATCGCGTGGAGATGAAGTCAAACCCTGAAACTGATGACTTTAGATATTTTGATCCCAAATTGCTATGGGGCAATGACAGTTCAGTTCCGAGGAACAAAAATCCATTCCAAGAGGCAATTGTTTTTGTGGTGGGAGGAGGCAACTACATTGAATATCAAAATCTTATTGACTACATAGAGGGGAAACAAGGCAAACACATTTTATATGGCTGCAGTGAATTTTTTAATGTGACACCGTTCATAAAACAGCTGTCACAACTTGGACAAAAATAGCACAGAAGAACCTTAACATGAGAGTCTCCTTGGACTTGGATAAATGTAAAAAGGGAAGTCAAAAGAGCCAGATGTTTCCTTCTCTATATCAGTGTCCTAACAATGAAACTTAGCATTCTTTGTTAACTTTTAAGGAAATTCTATACTTAATATAATGTGTACTGATTAAAAGAATAAAGCATTTCAGGAAAGAAAAAAAAAAAGCAGCCCTAGCTGCTTTGGCTCAGTGGTTAGAGCTGGCCTGCAGACTGAAGGGTCCCAGGTTCTACGCTGGCCAGTGGCAAGTACCTCTGTTGCAGGCTTGATCCGCAGTGCTGGTTGGGGCGCTTGAAGGAGGCGACCAATCAATGTGTCTCTCTGCATCGATGTTTCTGTCTCTCTCTCTCTCCTCCTCCACTCTCTCTGAAAAGCAATGGAAAAAGTATCCTAGGGTGAGGATTAAAAAAAAAAGGGGCAGCTATGTCTTTTGAGACATACAACCCACTCCTCTCTTCCCAGCAAATTTATGCAAAAAATAACCTTTGAATAAACCCTTTCACTGAACTGCTTTTACTGAGGCACTAAAGGCTCCTGATGGCCAAATCCCACGCTGTTATTCAACCTGCTTCACTTGGCCTTTCTCTTCCAGCTAATGCTGCCAACCCCTCTACCTCCTTCTAGAACTTTCTCTCTTTCTTTGGCTTTACTCTCCTGATTCTCTCAAAACTTGTCTAAATATTACTAGGGTCTGTCCTAAGCTCAAGTTCCTTCTCACTCTAGTTCCTCTGCTTAGGTATTTCCAACCATCACCAAGGTTGAAATACTGTGTATAGGCTAAAGAAGCCCTAATTAGCCCCAGGGCTTAGGTATTATACAGCTAGTGTCTTCTAAACATCTCCAACTAATGCTCTTAAAGACATAAATCTCAATATTTTCCAAATATAGATCATTACATGATCTCTACTGATCTTGCTGTACATGATATACAAGCATACCTAGTTTTATTGCACTATGCTTTATTGCACCTGGCAGATATTGCTTTTTTTTTACAAATTGAAGGTTTGTGGTAACCATGAGTCCAGCAAGTCTATCAGCACCATTTTTCCAACAGCATTTGCACACTACATGTCTATGTGTCACATTTTGGTAATTCACACAATATTTTCAACTTTATTATTTGTTATGGTGATCTGTAATCATAATTTTTAAAAATGTAAGTATAGTTGGCATACAATATTATATTAGTTTCAGGTGTACAATATGGTGACTTAACATTTATATACCTTAAAATGTGATCACCACATTAAGTCTAGTAATCATCGGGCATCGTGCAAACTTATCATAACATTACTGACTTGTATTCATCGATCTTTGATGTTAGCATTGTAGCTATTTTGGAGTGCCACAAACTGCACCCAGATAAGGAAGTAGACTTAATAAACATAGTATGTGTTCTGACTACTCCACCTGACTGGCCATTCCCCATCTCTCTTTTTCTCCTCGGGACTTCCTATTCTGAGAAACATCAATATTGAAATTAGGCCAATTAATAACCTTACAATGGCCTCTAAGTGTTCAGGTGAAAGAATGAGTTACACATCTCTCACTTTAAATCAACAGCTAGAAATGATTAAGCTTAAGCTTAGTGAGGAAGACATGTCAAAAGACAAGATAGGCCAAAAACCAGGCCTCTTACACCAAACAATTAGCAACTTATGAATGCAAAAGAAAAGTTCTTGAAGAAAATTAAAAGTGCTACTCAGAGGACACATGAATGGTAGGAAACAGCCTTATTGCTGATATGGAGAAACTTTTAGTGGTCTGTATAGAAGATCAAACCAGTCACAACATTCTCTTAAGCCAAAGCCTAATCCAGAGCAAGGCCCTAATGATCTTCACTTCTTTGAAAGCTGAGAGAGGTGAGGGAGCTGCAGAAGAAAAGTTTGAAGCTAGCAGGGGTTGGTTAATCAGGTTGAAGGAAAGAAGCCAAATCCATAACATAAAAGTGCAGGGTGAAGCAAGTGCTGATGTAGACGCTGCAGCAAGTTATCCAGAAGTTCTAGCTAAGACAATTAATGAAGGTGGCTAAACAACAGATTTTCAATGTAGGCTGAAAAAACAACAACAAAACAGCAAATGGAGCAGATGTTGTCAAGAGAACAATCTAAAACGAAGCTGGGAGGCCTCTGGAAACCTGAGCTAACCCCTTCCATGTGAAACTGAACTTTTGAATGTCCTGATACAGTTCCTGGAACTGGCTGTGCACACTGAACTCTCCATTAAAAAGTAAAATTTTTACCTACCAATAAACATAAGCAATTGGTCATGTATGGCATAGTGTAAGTCTGCTTGCTAGCATCAACCACAGCTCTTTCAAAACAACTTAAGTAATCCTTTTAAAAGTCCCCCTTTTTCTGTCTTTATAAACTCTGTTCCACCCCCCCGACTGGAACACAGTTGGGGTTTCTACCCAAATGTGTGTCTCCTGGATTACAATTCCTAAAAAAGACCCCTAAATAAAGCTTTTGTTTGCCTTGCAGTTCTTAGTCAAAATTGATTGACAAGACAAAAGAACCTTATGTTGGAAGAAGATTCCATCTAGGACTTTTATAGCTAGAGAGAAATCAATGCCTGGCTTCAAAGCTTCAAAGGATGGGCTGACTCTCTTGTTAAAGGCTAACGTAACGCAGCTGGTGACTTTAGGTTGAAGTCAATGCTCATTTACCATTCCAAAAATCTTAGGGCCCTTAAGAATTATGCTAAGTGTACTCTGCCTGAGTTCTATAAATATAGCAACGAGGCCTGATGACAGCACATCTGTTTACTTAATCTGTTTACAACATGGTTTACTTAATATTTTAAGCCCACTGTTGAGACCTACTACTCAGAAAAAAAGATTTCTTTCCAAGTATTACTGATCATTGACTATGACTCACCCAAGAGCTCTGATGGAAATTTGTAACGAGATTAATGTTGTTTTCATGCCTGGCAACACAACATCCATTCTTCAGTTCATGAATCAAGGAGTAATTTTGACTTTCAAGACTCTTATTATTTAAGTACTACATTTCATAAAACTATAGTGGGCATACATAGCAATTTCTCTGATGGATCTGGGCAAAGTAAATTGAAAACCTTCTGGAAAGAATTCACCATTCTAGATGCCATTAAAAACACTTGTGATTCATGGGAAGAGGTCAAAATATCAACATTAACAGGAGTTTGGAAGAAGTTGATTCCAACCATCATGAATGACTTTGAGGGGTTCAAGATTTCAGTGGAAAAAAGAAAAGAAAAAAAAAAGATTTCAGTGGAGGCAGTAACTGCACATGTCGTAGAAACAGCAAAAGAACTAGAATTAGAAGTGGAGCCTGAAGGTATGACCAAATTGCTATCATCTCATGATAAAACTTTAATGGATGAGGAGTTGCTTTTTATGGATGAGCAAAGAAAATGGTTTCTTGGGATAGGATCCACTGCTGGTGAAGATGCTGTGAAGACTGTTGAAATGACAGCACAGGGTCTAGAATATTATGTAAACTTAGTTGATAAAGCCATAGCAGGATCAGAGAAGACTGACTCCAATTTTGAACTAAGTTCTACTGTTGGTAAAATGCTATCAAATAGCACTGCATGTTACAGAGAAATTGCTTGTGAAAGGAACAGTCAACCGATGTAGCAAATTTCACTGTTGTCTTATTTTAAGAAATTGCCAAAGCTAACCCAGCCTTCGGCAGTCACCACTGTGATCAGTCAGTAGCCATCAACATTAAAGCAAGAGCCTCCACCAGCAAAAGGAATACAACTTGCTGAAGGCTCAGGTGATGGTTAGTATTTTTTAGCAATAAACTATTTTTTAATTAAGGTATGTACATTGTATTTCTAAGCATAATGCTATTGCACACTTAAAAGACTACAAGTAGAGTGTAAGCATAAGTTTTATATTCACTGAGAAACTAAAAATTCTTGCGACTCACTTTATTGTAATATTTATTATATTGTGGTCTGGAACTGAATCCACAATATCTCTGTATATGCCTGTTTGGTTGTTGACAGCTTCATTCATATGAACTAGAGAACTGGGAGGATCCTTGACTCTCTTCTCTTCCACAAGCCCCCCACTCTGTGGTTCACACTCCGTGTCTATTCTCATTGCACTCTCCTGGCCATGCACCCATCTTTTCCCACCTGGACTCTTCACCTGCCTTAGGTCCCACCCCTCCATTCCATCCTCCACGCTGCAGCCAGCATGATCTTTCTCCATCACAAATAGGATTTAATTCCCTTTAACTGAAAGTCATCACAAAAAGTAAAGTCCAAGCTCCTTGGCATTCCAGGCTATGTAGGAGTGGGTATTTCTGTGAATCTCCAGCCAGTTCATACTCCAACAATGATTAGCCTTTTGGACTCAGAAGACATTTGTGCCTCCTTTCTTGGTTCATGACACCTCTGTGATTTTGAGGTCTCATTCACCTTTGAGATTCCCTACCACTGAGCACAGTCTATGGTACAGGGAAGATTATCAAGAAGCCTGCTGAATGGAATAAAGATTTTTCCAGATAGAAATGAGGCAAAGTGTATTATTCTAGGAAGTGGAAGTTGAGCCAAGCCAGAGTGTGTAAATGCTCACATAGTTACGTATGGATCCCATTGTCGGTGGAAGGAAAGAGGGGGTGCTGTGGTAAGAAAGGTGGGCCACCACAGGATCAGGCCACTCAGTGTCGAATGTGAGACTATATGGAATGGACTGTATCCTACAGGCATTATCAAAACAAAAAATAATTTTTTTTGAGTAGGTTAATAGTATGATAACTAGCAGTCACTTAGAGAATGAAAGGGAAATACTAGAGAAAAGGACACATAGGCAATTTGGCGAGGGGAAGAGAAAGGGAAAATAGCATGGAATAAAGGAAGGGAAAGGAAAATAAAGGGAAAATTAAGTACCTAGCATGTGCCAAGTACTTCATATACAAAATTTCACTTTAGTCCTCATAGTAGCCTGTGTGGCATGAACAGTCATCCCTGGTCCTAGGAGGAAACTGAGATGCAGAGGGTTGAGAGGAACTTGTGAGAGGCCACACAATCAGAAAGTGGCCGTGCCAGCTGAGGTTCAAACTCCCGCTTGTCTCCAAAGCCCATGCATTTTCTACCACACACAATTCTCAGAGAAGACAGGACCCTAAACCAGAGGCAGAGGAGATCACCAGAGATATCTCAGAGTAGAAACCACCCTGAACAGCAGGAACTGTCAGCCTGGGGACAGCATTACCCAAAGTAAAGGATCACTGAGAAGGAAATGCACACAAGTTTGACTGCACACATGTTGAGTTTGAGATGCTAGTGGGACTTGTCCAGGGAGCTTTCCAGCAGTTAATGAAAAAAATAGATGCATGTGGAGCTGCTGGCTGAGAAAACTGAAGCTAAAGGAGCAGGTGAAAGCATCCAAGGAAACAGTATGGATGGAGCAAGAGAGGAGGGCTGAGTCTCAGGCAGCGTGGACCCTGTGGGGGTAGGAAAGGTCTCTGCCCAGCTCAGGGACAGCAAGGGGGCAGGTGACAGGGATGCTACAGGAGAGAATGTGAGATGAACTGCTAAAAGACAGTTCCTTCTCATCTATAAATTTTAAGGTACACATACCTGCTTCTGAGCAGCAGAGTTTTTCAAAGGCTTCATCTGTATAATCATCACTCTCCTTTATACATTTATTTTCCTTAAGCTTCATTCCGTCCTCAAAGGTCAAAGTTTCATTTAGTATGTCCATGACCTAAAGCAATTCCATAGTGTTTCAAGAGAAATAAGCCATATTTTGAAGGGGAAAAAAGTTGTGCTCCCAGTAATAACAATTACAAAGATATTTGGCAAATATTTAATATATCTATATTAGACAAATAAATCAGTAAAGTTTTAAAAGTGGAACTATGTTGAAACACGATAGGAACAAGAATATTTTCATTTCTTTTCCTTGTCAGTAGTGACAACCACTGATCATATGGCAACTTATTTTTATCCAGACTTCCTGTCTTCAATATTATTCTACCATAGTTCATTTTACAGAATTCTCAAGGTTACCTGCTCTATGCCCTGTTTTAAGTACACAACATTCCTAATTGGGTCCCTAAAACTGCTTCTAATACATATTCCATAATCAATACAAAAATGATCACTGTGGTTCAAGCATACCAAAGTATAGAATAATAAAGGATGAACGATCGGTAGATAAAACTTTTTTGACTCTCTTCTTTTATTCTAGCAGGCCAGCGTTAGCACCTCACTTCACAGAAGCACTGTGGGTGTATCACTCCTCAGGTTCCAACCCAGAAGCAGTCTCCATATCTGCTCCCCTCTGATACTCACAGCTCTGGGACACTTAGAGCCCTAATGGTTAAATAAGGGCAAGCGCTAATTATCACCACTCTAATGAAGTCTTATGTAGCAAAATATTAGTAAAAATCTGAAAGATAGGGGGAACCCAGAGGGTTTTTATGGCAGTGAAAATACTCGGCATGATATTGCAATGGTGGGTACATGATACATTTGCCCAAACCTGTAGCATGTACAACCCCAAGAGTGAACCCTAATGTCATTGCCGGTTAATCACTTATAAAAATAACTGAGCTTTACCCAAAGACCAGTACAAAGACCTAAAATAAATGTGTATGGTTTCAGGGTACCTGCTCAATTTTTTTAGATAAGTATATTAGTTGTTGACTATACATTATGTCTTCTATTTTAATTAGGCTATGATTAAAAGTTAATATTGTAGGAAAGTAGATGCTTTATAAAAGAAAAATAAGTTAAATTGGAATGATCCATTTAAGGGAATCTTCTCAATTAAAAAAAGATTGGGAGGATGAAGTACTTGGAACACTTATTTGAACACCAGGAATCCTTCCAGGAAGATTTAAGAAAATGCCCCTTCCCCTATGAAAAAATTTCGTGAAACATGCTACTAAGGCACTGATTTTCTCATGCCTACTAATGGAAATATATACTTAATGACATACCTCTTCCTCTTTGGGAGTATTTTCATCAGAAATACATTTGTCTAAATTAATTTCAAACGTTACCCCTCTCTAGAAGAAAGCAAGAAAAAAAATCTTAGTTCAGCAATCCAATAAAAACCTTCAAATTATGACTCCCTATTTGACATTATAGACGCTTAAAAGCAATAGTCTAACATTATAGAATAAAGCAATTCCATAAACTAGTAGAAGAAAAAATCTTGTAGGCAACCCAGATTGCAAGGGATGGGCGGCCCCTGCCCCCAGCCAGCTTCTTAATATGAAACCAAAGACAAAATGTTTATTACCTTAGCTTTATATTTTTGTTCTGGAATTTTACTTTCCTTTATGTTCTGAAGTCTAATTTGTTTCAAGTCTCTTTCAATACCCTGAAAGTTTAGAGAAAAATTGATATACAGATTTAATATTGATCAAACAACTATGTTTTCACATCTCTTGAAATCACAGTATGGTATGTTTACATTATTTGATTTTTGGATTGAATGTGATGATTGATTTGAGAATATAAACATGCCGTTACTAATAATTCACTAGAACTTGGGGACAGTGTCCATTAACCCAAAATATACACTTAATACTGGCATTGCAATGGGTATAAATCCATAATGTAATAATGCTTATCACTCTAGTCTAGTTCAATACAACCTAAGTTAATTCAAAAAATGTAATTTTGACTATAGGATCCTTTCCTTAAGAGGTTTATGATCTTAATCAGGAAAACAAGAAAAGTACACAGCTCATTATAGTATAAAGGAAGGAGAGGGCTACAAACCTAAACCTTGACAAGAATTTCAAAGAGTCTGGCTGGTGTGGCTCAGCTGTTGAGCACTGACCTATGATCCAAGAGATCACAACTGGATTCCTGGTCAGGGCTCATGCCCAGGTTGTGGGCTCAATCCCCAGCAGGGGGCGTGCAGGAGGCAGCCAATCAATGACTCGTCATTGATGTTTCTCTCTCTCTCTCCCTCTTTCTTCCTCTCTCTGAAATCAATAAAAATATTTTTAAAAAATAATAATTTCAAAGAAACATTGAGAGGTGAACTTGAGAGGTGAACTTTAAATGCTGAGCTTTTCTAGGGTTCGGCCCTGGGCCCTCTGCCCCTTTCTCCCTCAATACAAAAGGGTCCGACTAACTACTATGGATTTAAGAGCTATCTTTATGCAATGACTCTTAAACTTGTATCTTCAGGTTTGATCTTTCCTCCCCTCTGAGCTTCAGACTCACATAATCAATTGCCAACTCAGCATCATCTTCACTTCAATATTCATTCCATAAATTCATATTGAGCACCCACTATGGCCAGACACGGTCCACAGGCTAGTGTAGTGAGTATGACCAAAAGGTCCCTGCTGACACAGGACTTACTGGAGTAAGATAGGTAACAAATAAATTAACAAAGTAATAACATAATTTCAGAAAGTGTTAAGTGCCCTAAAGGAAATAAAATAGGGTAATGGCATAGAGTATGGGGGTGAGAGCAATGAGGGAAAAGACTATTTGGTATTTGCTTTAAGCCCTGGAATAATATTGGACCTTGGCATATGACAGTCTGGTGAAGCCTAGTTCATCAGAGGGAGCAGCAGGCCAAAAGCCTCAAAGCAGGTATGCAATCGCAGATCGTCTCTAATCAACATGTCCAATGAGAACTCTCTCTCTTTTTATTAAGATTTTTAATTGTTTTTTTGTTTTTTAGAGAGGGGGAAAGAGAGAGATATATAAATCTGAGAGTGAGACATGGATCAGCTGCCTCCTGCATGCCCCTCACTGGAGATCGAGCACAAAACCTGGGTATGTGCCCTGACAGGGAATCAAACCAGCAACCTTTCAGTGCACAGGATGATGCCCAACCAACTGAGCCACACTGGCCAGGGCCAAAGGGAAGCCCCCACCACAAGCTCACTCCCCACTCTCTTCCCCATCTTAGGAAATGGTACTATCCCTTTCAAGTCAGAAATGTATGACTCTCCTTGGTGTCTCTCTGTGTGTGTTTTTAATGCTCTCTTCTTTCCACCATTGCACAGTAGGTCTCCATCATCTCTTCCTTAGAATCAATTACTGCTTCATCTGTATTACCACAGCTTCTGTATACTTCACATAAAGCATGTGTCAGTTTGAATCATTATTAGTTGTTTGCCCTGCTACCTTGGAAGGGTGTTTTTCTGCCTTGAAATATTATGAACTAGGGAACAAGACTGTGACATTTTATCTTATTATAGTTGTGAAGTTGGTTGTCTGATTTGATTATGTAGTCTGGTTGTCTCAGCTGTACAAGTATCATATTGCTTTATTTTCCTTAAAATACAACTATCTTAGACTCCTAAGTCCCATCCACTCACTGGTGCAAATTCAACCCCAGTCGACTTTAGATCTCTTTGGCGTCCTGTGAAGGTCCCAGGGTCTTTCACAAATGAAAACATCCAAAGAGGCCTTTCGGCCTTCACTCAACACTGGTTTCTCTCACTTGCCCTTACTCAAGCCCTGAGGCACCTTGAATATAAAAGTAAAAGACCTCCAGGGAAAAAAAAGGAAAAAAAAACCTCTCTTAAGAGCCATTTGACAATTCAGCTCTGACCAGCGCTCCCTCCAAAAATGTAAGGTTGAAACAGAAGAAAAGTTAACTTTCAGATTTCCTGACCAATGTGTCTGAGATCCTGACTCAAATACCATCCAGAAAGCTGAATTTTCATACATTCGCGAGAAGTTATGAAACTTGACTGCTCACTCAATCACCCACTCAGCTTCTGAAAGCAGGACACCTAGGCCCCACCCCAGACCAGGCATTGGAGTTTTTAAATGTTTTTCCACATGATTATACTTCACTCTGAGAGGTAAGAATCACCAGGCCAGGGAAACTCACTGGGAAACATATAGACATCTAACAATAACCATCACCTGCACAGGTGCTTCTTCCTCAGGTGTGTCTTGGTGGACAGGCAGGTTACTCTTCTTCACCAGATAAGTTTTATGACTTATTTTTGAGTCTTCCTTTAACACAAATTATACATAGTCAACAGATTGATTCTGCATCAGTTCTGAAGGCTACTTAATGAATCTTGGCCAGGGTTCAAATGGGATCTAGTGAGGAAATTCTTTTCACTTGCTGCACGATGGCAGTGGCTGGATAGAGCTCTCTTTATGGCTCCTTTTCACTACGACTGCCTTGGTACTCCCCAGTTTCCCAGTGCTTATTTCATGGTCTCTCTAGAAATATCCACTCCATCTTTCGACTCAGGTTTCCTGTCACAGACCTACTTTAAAAATAAGGCTGATGATGGTATGAGGCTCCCCACAATTAACCAAGCCTCTGCTCTGAAGAGAACCACCTCCAACCCGCCCCTCCCAGCACCTCCAGTCTCCATTTGCACCTCTGCGTGGTTCTTTCAGAATGCCCCCTCCTCAGCCCTGCCTCTCTGAACTCTACTCCCTCTCAGACCCGATTTAGGCTCCACCTTTCTTCTTCCATGAAAACCCTCATCCTGCTTATCCTTACTCCTATGCACCTACAGAGCTTAACTACATTCAGTCTTATTCAAAAATTGCTTTATATATGTGTGTCTTATCTTTCCAACTATTTTTGAGGAGCATATGCTAGAAAGAGTAGAGGTTTTAGAATCAGGTGTTTATTTAGTCTGCCTTCTGTGGAGAGTTACTTAACTTCTCTGTATAGGGAGTAAATGAGATAAAGCATGTGAAGCTCTGGTACATACAAGTGAATTGTATCATATGCTCATTCCACCTGTATTAATTCATCTACAGGTTCTCAGGGGTGGGGGAGATGGGGAGAGAGAAAAAGATCAATTTCAGCAAGCAGTGCGGATGGTTTACTCAATGAGTATGCAGCCCAAGTGCCAGTGAGGTGGGAGCCCAGCTATGTCTCGTCCAGTCTCAGTGCCCACAGGCCTCTCATAGGAGGAGCATTTCTGGGCACAGAGAGTGTTTCTCATATTTAAATATCATGCATTCTTTATATAACGTGGTCTCCAAACATAGGCCAGCTATTTCATCAGGAGTTCTACTGAAAAAGCAGTGACTTAAAAGGTGGAAGAATGAGTTCCAATGTGATGCCTTTAAGGGATTTTCAAGAATCATCTCAACTGCACTCAAATGTTGCCTTATACAAATTTTAGAATTTTACCCTGGCATATAAGACTATTCCAATGGTTGAATTCAGTAAATGCTAGTTTTTCCCCCACCTTATGGGCACGAATTTACTTACTGCATCTAATCCAGTTCTGGTGTAGTGTGGCTGCTCAGTCAGTAGTTATTGACTGATTCATGAGAGAGACACTTAACAAGCATTTTTCATAATCACCATTCCTAACTGAGAATGTCAGATACCCTCATCATCTGTGTAGCCTCAAGTAAACCACAACAAAGCAAAGCTTCAATTAGATCTGACAGCTTTCCTATTAAAAAGAGTTTGCATGATAAACTGTTGTCTTTTCTCTGAGATCATTACTTTTAATACCTGCTCAATTTAGTTAGCTCTAAATCAATAGTACGATTTTTCCTTTAGGAGAATGAACTTATTTACCTCCAGTTCACTCCCCATCTTCTTTCTAATTTCTTTCATGTCATTGTGGTACTGTTGGCGTATTTCTTCTAACTGCTTCCAATATTCCTAGAAAGCAATCCCAATCCAAAAATTTTAAATGTCTGTGAACAACTTAACAAAATAATCTCTATACAGCCTACAGTTTAAAAATGTGTGATATATAATCAGAATTAGAAAACCTGTTGCTCCTAAAGATGATGACTGCCTTATGCTTTGACTGTGGTACTTCACTCCCTGTGATAGTTTTATATATAATCTCAAATGTGTTAGTGACATACAATTACTATATATATCCTACTTTTATATATAATCCTCTTATGGGTAGAATTTTCTCCCCCCAGAAAAGATATGTTGGAGTCCTAACGCCCAGTACCTTCAATGTGACCTTATTTGGAGAACATCATTGCAGACATAATTAGCTAAGCTAAGAGGTGGTCACACTGGAGTAGAGTGGGCCCCTAATCTAGTATGACTGGTGTCCTTTTTAAAAGATGGCCATGTGAAGACAGACACACAGGGAGAATGCCATGTGACAAAGGCAGAGAATACAATATGCAGTTATAAACCAAGGATTGCTGAAGATTGCTGACAAACCACCAGAAGCTAGGAAGAGGCAAGGAAGGGCTCCTCTATAGGTTCCTGAAGCAGCTTGGCCCTGCCAACACCTTGATTTTGGACTTCTAGCCTCCAGAGCTGTGAGGCGATAAATTTCTGTTATATTAAACCACCCAGTTTACTGTGCTTTAAGGCAGCTCTAGGTAACTAATACAAATTCAAAACTGTTAATGATGGCAGTTACTTTATCAATCCAAAGTAAAAAGCCTTATGAACTTAGCTACGCTGAATTCTCAGAGAAGGTGAAATATACATCTCTGTACCCCCTAAAATCCCCAGCATGGTGCTTCACACAAGCATATCCAACAAGTATTTGTGCAAAAGACTCTCTCAGGCACGTACCATAGACACTAAAAGTAACACCCTATTACAGTACAAAGACAATGATATAAGTACAAAGGTTGCCCTGGAACCAGACTGTTTTTAACCTGTTCCTTCATTTTGTTTCTCCTGAATGGCAGCTCCTGGAATCTAGGTTCTTCTCCATTACTTCTCAGCTCTTGTCTCTTGTTGTGATTTGACTCAGCAGAAGATAGACGAAGACCCTATTATTTGAATGAAATAATTTGTAAAACATACTTGCATTAGGAAACATATTTTGATCTGACCTTGACCTTTTCCTTTTCCTTTTCCTTTTCCTTTAAACAAGCATTATATCACCAATTAAACTCAATATTTGGGAGTTTTTTAGAGTGAGCAGTAAATTTTTCTTAAGTACAAAACATTAAAGAATTAAAGAAAATTGCCCGGCCAGGTGTGGTTCAGCGGTTGAGCATCGACCTAGGATCCAGGAGACTGCGGTTTGATTCTCAGTCAGGGCACATGCCTGGGTTTCCGGCTCAATCCCCAGTCAGGGGCGTGCAGGAGGCAGCCGATCAATGACTCTCTCATCATTGATGTTTCTATCTCTCTTTCCCTCTCCTGTCCTCTCTCTGAAATCAATAAAGATATATATTTTTAAAAATTAAAGAAAATTAATAAAACCATTTGTGTTGTTTACCCAAAGCAATCAATACTTTATGCTATCATATACCTAGATTCATTTTCTGAACTGGAAAATTATAATTGTTAAATTAAAATTCAGTAAAAGTTGTCCTAGCTGGTTTTGTGCAGTGGTTAGAGCGTCGGCCCACGGACTGAAGGGTTCTGGGTTTGATTTTGGCCACGGGCACATACCTCAGTTGCAGACTTGATCCCTGGCCTTGGTCAGGGCACTTGCAGGAAGCAACCAATCGGTGTTTCTCTCTCTCTCTCTCCTTTCCCCTCTCTCTGAAAAGCGATGGAAAAAATATCCTCTGGTGAGGATTAAAAATAAACCTCAATAAAAGTTTAGTAACCGCAGGAACATGAGAATAGGTTAGAGGAATAGAACTGGAGCTTTTTAGAAGTNAAAACCTCAATATAAGTTTAGTAACCCCAGGAACATGAGAATAGGTTAGAGGAATAGAACTGGAGCTTTTTAGAAGTTCAAAATAAGAGCAATACAAGTAGGATGCATATCCAGCCTCCCTTGACCCCCAAATTTTGACACTATACTTGATGGTAAAGGTTAACTTTCAATTCAAGTAAAAAAAATAGTCACTCTTTTTAATGTGTAGAATTCTAATAAAATAGAATCAAAGAATTGCAGCACAGAAGGGGAATTGGAAGCTCATCTACTCCACAACTATCATATATAGAACAGAAAATTGAGGTTCAGAGAGGTTGCATGACCTACCTAAGGTCACACAGCAAGTTATAGAGCCAGGGAAGAAACCAGGATTCCTAGACCCTAATTCAAGCCTATTCCCATTATTCTTCTTTAAACTATTAAAAACTAAGGAATGTGGAGGGTAGTCTTGATCTTCTATATGGAATGAACTTTGACTTAAGGATCCATGAATATTTGTGAACAGAAACACTATTAGGAATTCCTGATTGCCTCTTATATTTGGTATTTTACTTACCAATTGCTTTTCTACTTTCAACTTATATTGCTGAGCTTCAAATTTCCTCTGAAGGTATTCAGCAGGCCTTGGGAAATAAAAATGTTCAGCTTCAGTGGAAATTTTAACTAGTCTTAGTCACGATTTGACAAGTAGATTTTTAGCTTAATAATGAGATTCACAATTCACCTGTGACTTGAAGTTCTGAGTTCAAGAGGTAGCTCAAAGTTTCAGAATGTATACATTGGAAAAGAAGATCTTTAGAATCAAGAAAGGGAGATAAAAAAAAATAGTAACAACTGGGGATACAGGAGAGAATAAAACAGAAAATATTCTGATCCATAATATGTTGGAGGGAAGAAAACAAACTCATATCAGGATCTTCTCATGCTCTGTGCAGGTCTCTAATCTACAGTTGTCACCCCTGATTTGACTGATGTTGCTGATCTGTTTCCTCACTACACTCTGAGCTCCCTCAGAGCAGGATCGTGTCCCATCACTTTACCTCTACTCCTCATGCTGGCATACAAATGCATAATGAATAAAAAAATGAGGCTTTAGCTGTCTCTCACAATATTTAAGGTATTTTTCCAGCACAATTCTGGTCAAACCATTTTCAGGTTTATAACTATGCTCTCTCTCTATATATTTAACTTTTTTGCAGAATTTCCTGCTAAGAATTTCTATAAGTTCTGATTGCTAAATAAAAACTATCACATTTCAGAGCATAGTATGAACTATATGATAAAGTTCTTTGGAATATCAGTAAATTCTAGGACTCCAAAAACAGAACTATCATTTCAGAAATAACTACTTTAGGAACATCATGATGAGCAGTCCCCAGTTTATGAAGAATCATTTCTTCATAGAAATGATTTAGAAATATGATGAAATGGCAGGCTTGTTAGGACCTCTGGGCCTTAGTTCTTCATATATAAAATGGGCACAACGCTATTTCAGAGGGATTGATATAAGGATGACAGGAGATTTGGTCTGTTCAGGTGCCTGGCCAGTGTCTGATGCTTATAGTGCTGGAATCAAATGAGGCTAACATATAACTTCATATCTCTCAGAAACCTAAGTGGTGGGTATAACAATATCTATATCTCTCTGTCTCTTCTCTCCCTCCCTCTCTCGCTCTCTTTCACACACACACAAACACACACACACGCACACCCTATACAGATTCCTCTTTCTCCAGACAAGTATATCAACACTTGATTCCCATGAAATCAGAGCTCAGACAGAGAGAAAGCTGGGAGTGAGGGCCTGGAAGAACAATGAGGAGCGGGTTACTAGTCAAGTCATCAGAGAGGTATCCTGGGATACAATAGGATGGGGCCTATGATGGGCAGCAGTATTCAGGAAAGAGAAGGCCTTTCTACCACGTTATGTGAGAATTTGGGAGATAAAACCATCTATAATAAAAGTAATTGATAGTTTGACAGCTCTCATATCTAGACAAAAGGTGGAAGACATTTTCCCTGTGGCTGAGAAAGGGCAAGGGATATTGTGGCTACACCTAAGTAAAATATTTATTAGTTAAATCCTATATGAATATTATAATTTGAGCTAGTGGATCACACAACTTTTGATAACCATGGGCGTCATTGAAAATGTGTTATAAAGATGGATAAAACTGTAACAGCACCCAATATCTTTCAAAATAAAATGTTTACTTTTCCCATAGCTAATCTTTCCATTAGCTATCTTTTGGGCTTACCATCACATAGTCTTTCATATTTTTCATTATTCGTGCAATATTCCAACAATAAAAAATAACCACAGTCACCAAAACTTAGCAAATTCCTACCCCTGGAAAAAAAAACCTGTGATGGCAGAATCATTTTTTTTAAATGACTCTCAAACTTAGGTCTTCAGGGCTGTGGATAGGTGTCAATTATTCTGAACACAGTAACACTGACATTGGTGTGAAATACACAATAGAAAATACTGTAGATTTGTAGAAATTTTTTATGGAGTAAACTTTTTGAAAGTCTGCCATACAGTAGTTTAATTATATTATTTTCTTTTTAATACACCCATATTCTGAAAAAATCCCAAGAATATAAATGCTGAATGAAGTATATCCCACTTTCCAATATATCTCAAATGATAATTTAATTATAAGTCAATTATTAATGATGAATATTAATAATCTCTTTGGAAAATGATACACATACAACTAACTTCATGAGTCCCAGGCAGTGAAATTTACTACAAAGAAGAAAAAATATTAAAAATTCAAGAGTAGGAATCTGTGCCCATAGTTAAATGGCTGTATGAATAAGAAGATACGCTACATCAGATCTGAGAGGAAAGGGTCAAGAAATTAATGTAGTAGCCACTTTATAAGTTATATAAATGTCTAATCATTATGTTGTAGACCTGAAATTAAATATAATATTGTATGTGAACTATAATTGAAAAAAAGTTTTAATAAAAAGAAATTTATTAATTAAAAGTGTCAAGGGAACTGTGAATTAAGTATTTGAAATGAGGAGTTTGGAATTTCTTAGATTATTTATTTTAGGAGAATTTGGAAGGATTGCAGAGTAAAGAATGTTAATATATCAAAATGTTTTCAGAGGACCAAGGTTTAAATTAGACAATCACATTACCATTGGCCTGGTGATTGACTGTGGCTTTCTTCCTGACTATAATTCTCCTTAACTCCGATATCTTTATGAGGAATACAGTGGTAACTTGGTTCATGGTGTCTCTTCCTCAACAAGTCAAGTTGAGCATAGTAATAATCATAATGGTCACACACTCCAGCATGTTTGGGCCTTTCTACCATTTTTATCTGAGGGATTAATAAGAGAGATTTTTTAAAATACAAATCTATAATAATTGACAGTCTGATAGTGACCTAGCTAAGACAAGGCATTGAAGGTATATTTTTGTTATTTTTGCTCTAGAATTGTTTTCAGATTAAAATAATTTTAGAATCTCCAGCCCTAGTCAGTTTGACTCAGTGTTTAAAGCATCATCCTGTGGACTGAAGGGCCCAGGGTTCGATTCCGGCCAAGGGCACATACCTCAATTGCAGGCTCGACCCCCAGCCCTGGTCTGGACGCATACAGGAGGCAACCAACCGATGTCTCTCTCACATTGATGTTTCTATTTCTCTTTCTCTCCCTTCCACTCTCTCTGAAAATCAATGGAAAAAATATCCTCAGGCCCAGCCAGCATGGCTCAGTGGTTGAGCGTCAACCTATAAAACAGGAGGTCATGGTTCCATTTCCCGTCAGAGCACATGCCTGGGCTGGCGGCTTGATCCCCAGGAAGGGGCATGCAGGAGGCAGCCAATCAATGAGTCTCTCTTATCATTGATGTTTCTCTCTCTCTCTCCCTCTCCCTTCTCTCTGCAATCAATAAAAATATATTTAAATATATATATAGATATCCTTGGGTAAAGATTAAAAAAATAATAATAATAAATAATGAAATAATTTTAGACCCTCCAAATCCTAGAATTAAAAAAGATTTTTTCCAGCTGGTGGAGGTAGATCTCAGGGTTCCCTTGGGACTTTTGCTGACCTGCCCCTGTGCTCAGAGCTGATAAAAACCAGTCTTGGTGTACAGCTTGATCCTTTCCACTCACACCCAGGCCCAGCAGAGTGAGGCAAAAACTGTGCATCACTTTGTAGCTCCAAACAGGTGTCTCAGGGCCAGTCACAGGCAGTATCTGATATTGGCCTGCACGAGAGTCCTGCACAAGAGGTCCCAGAACCAATACACCCAGTGGCCAGCTTTAGACAACATCAGAGCAGGAACCAATTAGTTTCATTAGTGGCATATTCAAAGGGAGATCTCAACAGACACAAGACCCTGCTGAAGCAAATTCCGCTCTGTGTAATCAGCACCTGCATAGCAGCCTGCACATGTGTCAGGGGTTGATCCTCACAGTCAACTAGTCTGAAGGTTGACCCCACACATGAAAGGGCCAATAGCAAACAAGACTCAATTACAACAAGAGGGCCCACATAACCCACACAGGGAAAATCATGGAGCACTCAGTACAGGTGATCAAGGAGACTGCACCACTTGGTACCATAAGACACCTACTACATAAGGCCACACTACAAAGACTGGGAGTCATGGCAGACTTACCTAATACATAGAAATAAACACAAAGAGGGAGCCAAAATGGGGAGACAAAGAAACATGCCCCAAAGAAAGAACAGGATAAATCTCTAGCAAAAGACCTAAATGAAATGGAAGCAAGCAATTTACCATATACAGAGATGAAAAAATGGTTAAAAGGCCCTGGCCAGTGTGGCTCAATTGGTTGGGAATCATCTCATGCAACAAAGGGATGCTGGTTCAATTCCAAGTCAGGGCACATGCCTGGGTTGCAGGATCCACCCCCAGTAGTGGGTGTGCAGGAAGCAGACAATTGATGTTTCTCTCTTAAATCAATGTTTCTCTCTCTCTCACTCTGCCTTCCCCTCTCTCTCAAAAACATCAGTACAAACATATATTTTTTAATGGTTCTAAGGATGCTCAAGGAACTTAGTGACAACTACAAGAAACTTAGAAATACAGCAGCATGAAAAAGACATAGAAACCATAAAAAAGAACCAGTCAGAAATGAAGACTACAACATCTGAAATGAACAATGCACAAGAAGGGAAAAACAGTAGGTTGGTGAAGCAGAGGATGAAATAAGGGATTTGGAAGACATGGTAGCAGAATACAAACAATCAGAGCAGCAAAAAGAAAAAAAATTTTTAAGAATGAGGATAGTACCCAGCTGGTGAGGCTCAGAGGTTGAGTATTGACCCAGAACCAAGAGGTCACCAGTTCCATTCCCCATTAGGACACATGCCAGCATTGCAGGCTCGATCCCCGGGG